TCATGTTAGCTATGTATCTATATATTCATTTACTCAGGTCTTTTATGAAATCAATAGTTCTGTGCTTTTAGTTAAAGCAGATGTTGCATCATTCCAGCCGTTAGCTTATTGGCCTCTCAGTTCTATCTATGGAAATGCAAATGTGGTTTTCAGTTTCTGATCAGTGCCCAACACAATGTGCGTATTTTCAGCTATTTCTGATTTTTAGACTTCAAGCATTTAGCATTCATTTTCTTTTCAATTATGTGTAACCTCCTCCCATTATTCTTCACTCCCTCTGTTATTTTCTCATTAGGATCATGCTAACATCATTATTAGTACTTCTGTTCCGCAATGGTACTGAACTGTATGTTAGCTTTTTGGAGATATAAATAATGTATATTGGAAGGACGTGCGATCAAAAGTATTGTGAATTGTGTAGTATATTTCTTAAATGATTGTTATCCTGGGCTGTTAGCCATTACATTCAACCAGTTTTGGTTCAAGTTGAAAATACAGCAATGTTTTCATAACATGATACTTGGAACCAAGCAACCTGTATTTTTTTTCGATTTGATACCAATATGTGTGTTTCAGTGTAAATTGTAAATGCTGATACAACAAAGCTGTTTCAAAAACACATACACCAGCATACTTTGTACTCCTGCCAGTTGGTAGTGGTTCTTTATTTTTAAAAACTTGTTGAGAACTTTGCAAGGATTTCATTTGTTTCATGTTCATGGTAATTCAATGGATGTGTATATTTTAAGAGCAAGGAAGTAGATGCCTCATTATTTAAGCACATCTAAGCCATTGTCTTCTGAAGCTCCTCCTCGGCACAGAGTCTGAGAGATTGCCATGTCACTGTATGTCCGTACCAGTTTATGTCGTCAGTGTGTGAGCCAACTTGTGCAACTCTGGCATTACTCTGGGCATGTTTGATGTTGTGAGTTTGGCATAATGACCTAAAGCACACTGAACCAAATTTCAGTACTTGCTTCCACATGGACCAGTCAGCTACAGTGCTTTCACAAGAAAGGTGGTCTGCAATGTAGAATCCTGTAAGGTTCTTCTCCAGAGTGTCCTTGTATCACCTACACTGACCATTTTGATGTTTGCATTGAGAACAAACATTACGTTAAAGTAGTGGATCTTATATTTCCAAAATCAACTTCCAATCCAGTATGTAAAATGAATCACAGAATATTGTCATGGCATCATCAAAAATCTATCCACCCAAGCTGCAACAAGAGGTTTGAATTAATAGAACACTTTTCATACTTCAAGAAATCTCAAGCACTTTGCCACCAATTATGGAATCTTAAATTGTGGACAGGGTAGCTCACTTGTGACTTTCTTTTGCAAATGTGTGGGATAAAATCCCCAGTAGCACTAAGTAGGTGATTGAAAATCTGATCAGGAAAGGTAATGCTCCGACAGTGCAGTACCCTTCCAGTACTCTACTGGACTTTCAGCACTGACTGTATACCATATTCATGGGAGTAAATCTGACCCCACAACCTCCTGACTCTCATATGTGCGCTACCACAAAGTCACTGCAAAAACCTGGTGATGAAGTTTATACTTTGCAACACTGAAAATTTTGTTTTGAAATTAATACAATTAAACATCTTCATGAAAAGTGATTGAAAATGTGACATATTTTCCTGTGTAAAATATTAGAAGCATCTAGTTTTTAATCTGCTGCAGTTAAATTACTTATCCTCCTAGTAAATATTACTGATTATGACAGTTAGATCTAGAAATATTTGAAAGCTCTTTTGGTTACTTACACTGCTTTAGATATCTCAACAATCACAATATTTGCAGTTGTATAACTTCTAACAAAATGTCCCTTGATACTTCACAAGAGCATTAGCGAACAAAATCTTAATACTGAGTCAATCTAGGATAGGTAATCAAAAGCTTCATCAAAACAATAGCTTTTAAGAAGCATCTTAAAAGAGGAAACATAATTTACATGGGTGGAATATATTGGATTACATTCCAATCCAGTATACTGAATGAGGCAACGTGTAGGCTTCAAAGGGCTCAGTCATTCAATAGGATCATGGCTGACCTTCCACTTCAACTCAATTACCATGTACTCTACCAATATCCCTTAATTTCCACAATCCCAAGAACCTGATGGGTTTTATCTTTTAATATATTCAATGACTGAGCATCCACAGCTCTTTGGAGGGGGTGGGGTGAAATTCCAAAAATTCACAACACTGTGAGAGGAGACATTTCCCTTTGTGTTAAGTAGCCAGCCCTTTATTCTGAGAGAGTGATTCTGTATTCTGTATTCTGTATTCCTAGCCAGGATAAACATTTCTCAGCATCTATCCCAACAAACCTCATAATATCATGTCCTGATATGATCATTTCTCATTCTTGTAAATACCAAGGAATTTAGATCTACCCTCTTCATAGTCTCATCATAAGAAATGAGAAAATAACAGGAATCAGCCTCATTTTTTTTTTGGAGCAAGTGTGCCTTTACTTGGGAAAAGAAACCAAAATTGTGCAGAGTACTCTGGTGTGGCCCCACCGATGCACAGAGAGGTTTAAGACAGGTGGTACTTTGTAACAACAGAGCCATGTCTTTTGTTTGGTTTTCTCTGAAAAGTGTGGTGATGACAGAAAATTTTTTTAAGGGGAAGATGAAAGGACACTGAGGAGAAACGATCGCTTAAAAACATCAGCTAAGGTGGGAGCCAGGAAGGGAAGCCAAATGAGTAACTGTAAAGTAAGAGGAGTTTGGAGAACAAGAGGTGTGTCTCATCAACAAGGTGAGCTTTGAGAGGCTTTGTGATTTGTGGTGAAGAGAATTCAGGCACTGGAGAGCATTGGCTAATTTCAATTTCAGATAGTGGAAGAATAGTCTGGATGCATTAGTTTGAGATGTTAATTTATAGCTCAGTTGAAAGATTGAGGATCTGGAAATAAGTTAAAACTGTCCTAGGGAGGAAGTACAAAATAAAATAAGTTTTGATTCTTTCAACATTTAATATTGACTGTACTGTCAATCTGATCTGTTGATTTCTCCATCAGAGAATCACAAAGTAAAACAATCCAATGTTTTTAATTTATTTGTTTTAATAATGCTTCCAAATATTTCTCAAATTGAGAGAAAGGGGTACAGTAAATTGCTTGGAAGAAGCTTCAATTATCTAAGATTTCTATCTATGTAATGCATAAAATCTGAAGTGCTGATTTGCTTTGGTAGGATTGCTGTCATGTTTCCAAAATTTGGTTAGTCTTGTTTTTCCTGCTGAGCATTGGTAATCCCGTACAAATTAATATTCTCTATTTTTCCATTTGCTGAGACAACCTGGACAGACCGGCAGAGCCTGTGTTCCGCATTATAGATTTACAGTTTCCACAGGAGAAATGGTTTTTCCATTTTCAGTTTGCTTCTGAAGAAGTAACAGGTGAATGGGAGTGAATAATGCACCTTTTTATAAAGAATGTAAATTTAATAGCTTTGGATGAAATAAAGGTCAAGTTAAAACTTTTCTGAGATAGTAGGAACTGCATATGCTGGAGAATCTGAGATAACAAGGTGTAGAGCTGGATGAACACGGCAGGCCAAGCAACATCAGAGGAGCAGGAAAGCTGACGTTTCGGGCCTAGACCCTTCAGAAATGGGGGAGGGGACGGGGGTTCCGAAATAAATAGGGAGAGGGGGAGGCGGATAGAAGATGGATAGAGGAGAAGATAGGTGGAGAGGAGACAGACAGGTCAAAGAGGCGGGGATGGACCTAGTAAAGGTGAGTGTAGGTGGGGAGTTAGGGAGGAGATAGGTCAGTCCAGGGAGGACGGACAGGTCAAGGGGGCGGGATGAGGGGAGGGGGGCTGGGGGTGGGGGGAGGGGATAGGTGGGAGGAAGGACAGGTTAGGAAGGCGGGGATGAGCTGGGCTGGTTTTGGGATGCCGTAGGGGGAGGGGAGATTTTGAAGCTTGTGAAGTCCACATTGATACCATTGGGCTGCAGGGTTCCCAAGCGGAATATGAGTTGCTGTTCCTGCAACCTTCAGGTGGCATCATTGTGGCACTGCAGGAGGCCCAGGATGGACATGTCGTCTGAGGAATGGGAGGGGGAGTTGAAATGGTTCGCGACTGGGAGGTGCAGTTGTTTAGTGCGAGCCGAGCGTAGGTGTTCTGCAAATCGATCCCCAAGCCTCTGCTTGGTTTCCCCGATGTAGAGGAGGCCACAACGGGAACAGCGGATGCAGTATACCACATTAGCAGATGTGCAGGTGAACATCTGCTTGATGTGGAAAGTCTTCCTGGGGCCTGGGATGGGAGTGGGGGGGAGGTGTAGGGGCAGGTGTAGTACTTATCTCCCCTCCCACTACCGCATCCCAAAACCAGCCCAGCTCGTCCCCACCTCCCTAACCTGTCCTTCCTCCCACCTCCAGCCCCACCCCCATCTCCTACCTACTAACCTCATCCCACCCCCTTGACCTGTCCGTCCTCCCTGGACTGACCTATCTCCTCCCTAACTCCCCACCTACATACACCTTTACTGGCTCCATCCCCGCCTCTTTGACCTGTCTGTCTCCTCTCCACCTATCTTCTCTTCTATCCATCTTCTATCCGCCTCCCCCTCTCTTCTATTTATTTCAGAGCCCCCTTCCCCTCCCCCATTTCTGAAGAAGGGTCTAGGCCCTAAACGTCAGTCTTCCTGCTCCTCTGATGCTGCTTGGCCTGCTGTGTTCATCCAGCTCTACACCTTGTTATCTTAAAACTTTTCTGTTTGCTTATTTGGAGTATGCATGCTTGCAGATAACTCTCAAACTAGTTCCACTACATTCAGAATTTTTCACTCTGCTACAAAATGAATTCCAATGAGCTTGTAATTATTGGTTGATCACTGAAGAGTCAGGATCCTAATGCTATGAACCAGTGCGAATGTTTACTTGTTTCTTCACGTGCTACAATAGGTTGTTGCAATGAGATAATCTCCTTTCACCATTTCTATATTTTGACGGTGGTGTTTTGTATATTTTCAGAGGTCCAACCCACATCCGTTGGCTCAATTCTTCTATGCAGATAAGGAGGTGACTCAAGTTATGATGGAGTTGAATAATGTCAATCTTCACAATGACCCCCAACAATACATGGCACAACTAAATAATCTTCGAGCTAGACAGGTCAGTGACTTAGATCCTGTATGGTAGAGCTAACCTAACTTTTATTTTGAACACTCTCTCTTAGAAGCAAATTACATTGAATTTTAAACAGTTTCCATAGTGGAGGTTACGTCCTCCGTTGCATTCAAGAGTCATTTACTGTTGGCATTTTGTTTTATTGCACCTAAAATAAATGTAAATTGAAATGTTTTCCACAACAAACTGAAACACTGTAGAAAATTACAGTTGGAGTGTTTCCAACATTTGTTGCTTGCACATCCCTGTTCAGCTAAGTTTGGCAAATCGTCATCAGATACATTTTAACAATTTTGGTCTTCATGCTTACTTTCCACTCTATATAATTTTTTTTGTGTGTCTCTCTCATCAACTATGTTCTCATTCTTTTTGTTATTTTACCAAAATGGAAATAACCTAAGTTTTTTTTTGCCAGGTACACTTTAGTAATAAGGGAATAGTATAATTGCAGAACAGAAAGCCATTCAGATCATGTTGATTCTCTGTACAGCAACTAATTGCTCCTTTTAGAATAGAAGACAATCAGTTAGTGCACAGAATCCCAACAGTGCAAATAGAGGCCATTCAGCCCATCAAGTCTGCACTGACCCTCCAAACAGCAATCCTGCGCAGGCATAGCCCCATAATCCTGCATTTCTCATGGCTTACCCACCTAGCCTACACATCCTGGATACTACAGGCAATTTAGCATGGCCAATCCACCTAATCTGCACATCTTTGGATTGTGGGAGGAAACCAGAGGAAACCCAAGCATATACAGGGAGAATATGCAAACTCGACACAGTCACTCAAGGCTGGATTCGAACCTAGGTCCTTGTGTGCTGCCCAAAGAAAATTCTTCAAAGAAAATGTAACCGTTGCAAATTGATATGCTGGGAGTGTTCTATGGGTCAGGCAGCATCTGGGGGCAGAATGATGGAAATGTAAGTGAAACCTTTCCACAAACCATATTTTCCCAAAGTACTCCCACATGTTAAACTGTAAATTTTTCTGTTGATGAAGTGTAGAAATAACATTGTGATTAGTCCAGTTAACATACAACTTTCACTTACCGTGGACTTGAATAATTTATGCCCCATAAATATTTTAAAGTTGTTTGATAATTGGCCTGAAATAATCAAACTGGTGACATACTCCCCACTTTTAAATGGACAAATTTGACATTGACAGGATTTTTCCAATTGTGTTTCCCTTTCAAAATCCCACGACCAGCAAACAGTGTCCTTTTGTGTTCCAAAGCTTCGTTGTGTATTGACTTAACCTGGTGACCTCACTATAATTTGGAATTTGATAATCTTGATGAATGTCAGCCATGATGTGTAACTCTGGCATTGTTGCCTTATTTAAAGGATTCTGATGTTAGGAAGAGGGCTACAGCACCACCTGTCAAAGATTTATCTAAGTATTAATTGGTAAATGAAAACTGCCCACTCTCAGGCTTCAATGTCACATCAATAATGTGCATTTTTGAGTTGAAAAGCCAATGCATTGAAAAGCAGAAGAGTACACTATATTCTGAAATACACACCAGAAAAGTCACCTCAAATACATAATGGAGCTGCACCTTTGCTCCTCGATAGCACACAATTGTAATGGGTGGTGCCCTTTCAAATGCTACACAATTAAATGTTTAACTACCAGGTGCCCTACTAAACTGCACAATGGGGCAACATGTGGCAATTCTTGTACACTAGGTTGGATCAACATATTTTTGATATAATAATTTTGGTCTTGGTGTCCTGTTTAATACTAATTTGACAAAATACAGAATGGATCTAATCCTTGAACCTCCCTTTTGGATCTATGAAGTTGGATTTTTTTGCACCCAAGGTGGGTAGCTTAAATCGGGCAGTTTCCTTGCTCCAAAAGCTGCTCTTTGCCAGAGAACTGGGATGGAGGTTTGGCAAATTTCAGGCAAGTTCCCAAACAAATTTTGTCTGAGGCAGAGTGTTGGATGCCGTCAGATGTGGATCGGAGATAGGCGTGGGCTGCTGAGTGCTGAAGCGGACTATTTAAAAGGCCCATCTTTCTTCGCTGGGACTTTTTCCCTGTTGTTTGGTTTAGATATGAGGCCCTCTAACCTTCTCCACATCCTTCCTTTCTCCCCACCCTCAAACCAATCCATTTCGCCAGAAATGCTTCAATCATGGCAACCTATGCACCCCATACTCACCATTCTTTGTCCTTGCACCTGCCCATCCAATACACCCAGCATCTACCATGGGCAAATTTCTGGACCCATGTTCAAATAAACCAAAATAAAACAAATTTCTAAATATCAGTTACAGCTATCACACTAGAACAAAAACTTAGTCATGAGAACCCAGTCAAAATTATAACAGCCCGTCAGTAGCTAGCCACTTATCAAAACAACAAACTTGTATTTATAATCCCACTTTAAAAACCACTAATGATTTAACAACCTCATCGATCTGGGCTGCATCTCAGCCTATCTGCTTACTCCTTCTCCACCTCCGTTCAATGAGACCTGGGTGTCCTCATGCACTGAAAGTAAGTGTGGAGAAGGCACACTGTATGTTGGCCTTCATAGCGAAAGGATTTGAGTACAAGGAACAAGGAATGTCTTATGGCAATTATACAGGGCATTGGTGAGGCTCGCCTGGAACAGTGTGCTGTTTTGGTCTCTTTATCTGAGAAAGGATATTCTTGCTGTCGAGGGAGTGCTGCAAATTTTACCAAATTGATTGATTCCTGGGATGGCAGGACTGACGTATGAGGAGAGACTGAGTCGGTAAGGATTGTATGCACTGGAGTTTAGAAGAATGAGGAGGGATCTCCTAGAAGCCTATAAAATCCTAAGAGGACTAGGTGGGTAATGTGGAGGAAGGATGTTCCCAATGGTGGGGCAGCCCAGAACCAGGGGCCATAGCTTAAGGATAAGGGGTAAACCTTTTAGGACTGAGATGAGGAGAAATACGTTCATCCAGAGTACAGTGAGCTTGTGAAATTCCTAACCACAAAGTGGTCGGACCAAAACATTGTGTTTTTGAAGACAGAATTAAATATAGGTCTTGCGGCTAAAGGGATCAAGGGATATGGGAGGAGGGTGGGATTAGGGTATTGAGCTCTATGATCAGCCATGATCATAATGAATGCCAGAGCAGGCTTGAGGGGCTGAATGGCCTCCTGCTGCTTCCATCTTCTATATTTCTGTTTCCAGTAACAGGACAGAAGGTGGTGACTAAGTTTTGAGTCAAACCTCCCGGCGTTTCCAGCCTGTCTGCGTGCAGGTGCAACCAAAAACCTCCTGTAACCTTTTCCAAAAACCTGTAGAGGTGGCCTGCCCGCTTTTGCTTTTTTCTTTTTGTTTTAATTTTCTAAAAGGTTGTTAGAGAGGGCACCTTCACATTGAAGCCCAAACCGCATGTGGATGCTCCAATCTTTATTCTACAGTTTGTACAAAATCCCATTTTTCTTGCTTTTTAAATTTCTATATTTTGTATAGATCAAAAATTCTTCAGTGTATGTGCTGGTCATTCTTCCTTGTATTTACTGTTTTTCTGGATCCCACAACCCTCCTGTAGAAGGTGCCAAATTCAATTTGGTGTTAAAATTGACGTTGCTGACTCTTAGAGCCCATTAAAACTTTGGGTTTTTTTTTTTTTAAATCGATGTCAGCAATAGTGAGTGTTGTTCCCTTGTTGCTAACTACAAAATCTGAATCATGGACATTTAGACTGCGTCTTGAGTGGGTGAAAGAACTGGACTACTTCTGGGGCAATTTTAAAAAGGTCTTTTTAATGTGGGTCTCAACACCAGGCTGCTGTTTGTTTGTGTTGTATTCTGCCATATGCCTTTTCTTGCACACTGTCACAGTCCCTGCAGAATCCATACTTTATTTTTGGATTAAGAAAAAGGTTTTTCCAGTTACTGACTGAAATCTTACCTTTGGTAGTTTCTTATTTTAAGACTTTTACTATGTGTCTGTTTTTTTAATATAAAAAAACAGACAAAGGTCAATATTGATCAAACACCATTTAACAAGCAACTATGTCATAAGTCACACGACTCCCAGTCATAGTCCAACAGGGTTATTTGGAATCTCTCAAGCCTTTGTAACGCAGCCTTATCAGGTGCAGTGCATCTGATGAAGGGGCTGTGCTTCGAAAGCTTGTGTGATTCCAAATAAACCTGTTGGACTATGACCTGGGTCGTGTGACTTATGACTTTGTCCACCCCTGTCCAACACTGTCCGTAACAAGCACCTAATACACTAACTTAAAGAAGTGCTACTTCTACCCTTCTAATTAAATGAATCAAAATATGCTGCCTGATACATGACTACTTTCTATCACAGTCCCGACAGGGTGCAATGCAACCTTGAGCCTCGACGCACTCCTGACTTCCAGCAGGCTCACATCTCCTTTCTACATCAGGTCAAATCTTCCAATGTCTTTTGAAAATTGTAAAGAACAGACTTGCATTAGCATAGCCCACTTTGGTGACTCCTTGTTCCTTAAGTTTCAGCATCTCATCAGTTCTGCTCTCCTCTTACCGAATAATAAGCCAACTTTTTTAAAACTACTTAGTTGTTACCACAAAAACAGTCCATTCTGCTGTTCACAGCAGAAGCTATAGCTTCTTATCCCAGGATAGTAATTTCTTTATCTGTCTCTTATGACCAAAAACCAGCTAAGTCTTTTTGTCAAGTTGTGACAACTGTGAACTAATTTTCACGTGAACACGTCTCTAGACAGAGTTGGTTTGATTTAACACTATTCTTACCTCTGCACTTCACTGTTGCTTGCTGTCTCTCTCTCGTTCATTCTCTCTCTTTCCTCACCACCCCCTCATCCCCACAACCCCCCCATATCCCTGCCCCAACAATCCAGAACATTATCTTGCATTTTAAAATGTCTAACTTAATCTCTTTTTGTAAAGTTTCACATTCTTAACCACTAAAACTGACTACAACTTAGGGTGTTGCCTAAACACTAGCAGTGTAGAACAAAGCATTTCAATATGAGGTGATCAGTGCTTTCTTGATGCACTTTTTAAATCATTTCAAAGAATGAAATGAACAAGTGACAAAGCAGCAAAAGCTTTACAATGTTTGGGACACCCTCCAATCTTGTGGAATATAGTTAGTCTGATTCTGGCAGCCTTCAGTTATAAGAAGTGATTCCACCCCTTTTCAGATATAAAACTTCTTTGTGATATGCCAAAGAATTACTGTGCTGCCCAACTGCATTATATTCCAGATCAGTGAATGCTTTATTAAGGTGCAACGATCTGTCTTTACAAAGTTCAGCTAAACGGAGCCTGATGACTCTAAAGTAATTTAAATCCCACAACACAACATTGAGTTGTTTTGTCAGTCAAGCCTGTAGGATGTGGAGCATGCATTTATTGATGATGGCATTGAAATATGACCCACCAAAAGATTTGCAAGATAATTTATGCATTACACAACTTGATGATAATTCACCATCAGTTCATATGGAGTAAACATCAGGGTATCTCCCCTTTTTTACTTGTGTTTGTCTGTGCGATAAGGCAAAAAAAAGTGTGCATGATGATGAAGGAGGGGCAGAATGAGTTGAAACATGTGTGAAACAAAGGCACAAAAATGTTGGGGGATGTATGGCCAGTGAGTCAGCACCTGTAGATGGAAAAGTCAAATTCCATCCAAAATACCAATGTGTCAGCAGAACTGAAATCCAAAATCATCATGTATTTACTTATAGTGACATGAAGGATTTATCTCTGTAGATTTAGATATGGAGGTGCCAGTGTTGAACTGGGGTGGACAAAGTCAGAAGTCACATGACACCAAGTTATAGTCCCACAGGTTTATTTGAAGTCACAAGCTTTCAGAGCTTAGCCCCTTCATCAGGTGGAGAAAAAGAGAAACACATAAACACAGAGTTTATAGGCAGAGAGATCAAAAGATTGTACAACTGGTGTGTGCAGAGTGTCAAATATTATTTGACACTCACCACGCACCATTTGTATGACCTAGTGATCTCTCTGCCTATAAACTGTGTCTGTGTGCCTCTATTTCTCCCCATCTGACAAAGGGGCTACACTCTGAAAGCTTGTGACTTCAAATAAGCCTGTTGGACTATAACCTGGTGCCATGTGACTTCCATCTTTAGATCCTCACAGTTGTGGAAAGCGATTGATCTGTGTCATGAAGGAGAGAATGGTTTTCCTGTGATTACTATTGACAACAAAATTGGAAATGTGTGCAGAGAAAGCAATTACCAGAAATTGTCTTCCCAGCAGACTTGCTGGCCTAAATATTCTGATGGTCGGATAGTCACTACAACAGTATAGGCTTGAGTTGCTGTTCAGTCCATACAGAAATGCCAACATAGCTGAATCCAAGGGAATTGCCAAGAAAATGGAAAATTCCAATGAGCAGCTCTTCTGTGTCTGGAACAATCTAAAGAAAAGCCCTTTAAAGTTGGATAATTGAGGGTTCAAACCCCTTGGTAAGTACTAAACTGACCTATGTCTGCTGTACTGCACGTGCCTGCCTACAATCCACAACCAACCTACCCAAAGCACTCCTCTGTCTTGCCCCATCACACTAGCCTTCAAAGTGTCTGCTGGATATTTATCAGAATACATCTGTGACACCAGAGCGGGTGCAATTTTGACTATCTGCTCCTCTTCTGGGTTCAAGGATTCCTGGGCAGGTTTGGAACAGGAGTCCCTGCCCACGAAACCCCAGTTTTCTTCAAGCCTGCCCGGCCATTGATTCGGATCATGGCTGATCTGACTTTCCTCAGGTCCACGTTCCTACCCTTTCCCCGTAATCCTCGAATCCCTTACTGATCCAGAATCTATCTATCTCTGCCTATAATTTACACAAGGACTTTACCCTCACAGCTCTCTGCAGCAAAGAATTCCAAAGATACACTACCCACCTGAGAGGATGAATTGCTCCTCATCTTGGTCTTAAATTGACACCGTTTAATTCTGAGACTACACCCTGGGGTCCTAGACTCTCCAATGAGGGGGAAAACTTTGTCTCAGCACTTACCCTGTCAAGCCCCTTAGGAATCCTATATGTTTCAATGAGATCACCTCTCATTCTTCTAAATTCCAGTGAGTAGAATCCCAACATGTTTAGCCTTTGCTCATAAGACGGTCCCTCCATACCATGGATCATCCTTGTGAACCTTCTCTGAGCTGCCTCCAATGCAATAATATCTTTCCACAAATACGGAGAACAAAACTGCTCACAGTGCTTCAGACATGGTCTGATCAACACCTTATACTGTTGCAGTAAGACTTGCCTACTCTATACTCAACCTCCTTGAAATAAGGGCCAACATGCCATTAGCCTTCCTGATTACCTGCTGCATCTGGGTTGAAGCCTTCTGCAGTTTTTCCCCATTTAAATAATATTGTTTTGTTCTCCCTTCCAAAATGAACAACATTTGTCCACATCGTACTCCATTTGATAACCTTTGGCCTGCTTATGTAACCTATCAATATCTCTCTGTAAAGAGTCTGTACTGCATCTCTCAACCTGCCTTTCCACTTATTTTTATGTCTTCTAATCCTATTTGGCTCTGGCACATTCACTTCCTTCCTGCAAGTCATTAAAATATATTGTAAACAGTTATGGTCCAAACATTGATCCCTGTGAACTGTATTGGCTGCAGGTTGCTAATCTGATGAAGAACCCCTTATACACCACCTACCTGAGAGAATAAATTGCTCCTCATTTTGGTACTAAATTTATTCTGGGTCTATGCCCTCTGGTCTTAGAGTCTCCCATGAGGGGAGAACTCCTGTTTCCTGCTTATGAGCCAATTCGCTATCCATACCAATATACTACCTTAAACACCTCATGGGCTTTCATGACAACTTTTATTGTGAGGTACCTTGTTGAACGCCTCCTGGATCAGACTAGTTTCTATCCACTGTGGTTGAAATGTCCTCAAAAAAAACTAGTCCAACATGATTTCCTTTTGTGAAGCCATACTGACTCTGCTTGATTAGATTATAAAATTCCAAATGTTCTGAGATTACTTCCCTAATACTTGAATGCAATACTTTTCCAACAATAGATGTTACGCTAATCAACCTACAGTTACCTCCTTTTCTCACCTCCCTTCCTTTTCGAATAGGTAAGTGAGATTTTTTTTTATAAAATTTGCTTGGTGCCAGAGATTAGGTTTCTAAACCAGGTCCAAATTTCTGGGCCAATGTTCTTCAGATGTAATGTGCTGTCTTATTGGATGATGCAATGGAAATTAAATATTGGATTTCCCTCTCCTGACCTTTTTAATGTAACTTTTCTGAAGACCCAGTTATTGCTTCACCATGTATTTGTTGTTGCTTTTCAGGACCATATGCTACAGATAATTAACCAGATCATGGATGACTGCATTCCTAATGAGCGCCCAAATCGAGATTTCCATGTCAAGTTTCCAGATGAGATTTTACAGGAACATCTAGGAGTACAACTGTGGTTTGCTGCTGAGGTAGATCTTGAGGGGTGGGAGGCAATGTGGATCTTCGATTACAGTATGTCATGTATACCTGTATTATTTGGGTTTCACGTTTAGAACAATCCAGGGTCAACCTGCTTCCCTGACAGAACTTTCTAGCTATAGTTTCGACCATTTTGCATCTAACAGTTTACAGGTGTCAGCCAAGTCTTTATGATTTTGATTGTGGGTTGGTTAAATCTAGTTACATATGGCAGAAATTACAGACTTCATTTGGTGTAGATAAACACAACAATTGAAGTTCTTTGGAACCTGTATGGAGCTAAAATCAATTGCTAAGCCCAAGTATATATTATCAAGGTGTGGCAGCTAGGCGAAGGTCTTATCACAGTTTGGCTTGTTTGGAGCTCGAGAGCCTGAGATCTAGTCTGTGTAAAGTTGAGCTGAGAGCGAAGCAGATATTTAATGAGCCAAAGGATTTCAAAGCTTATTTCAGCAAACTGTCAAGCTTACTCTCCTCAAAGGGGCACTGTTTCATAAAGATTTTGCACTAACCAAAAATGCTCCAGGAAATCTACTAAATGATGCAATTGTTGCGAAGTTGGGTAGAGTATTCGTGGATTGGAAGGCAGAACGTTTGAATTTCATGTTTGTAAAATGATACGGGGAGGGGAAAAGAGTCCCGTGAGTCCCTTTAAAATATGTGTTTATTCCATGCTTTGAGATTTTTAAAAATTGTGCAGGTGTGCAGAGAACTCCTGAAATTGAAATATTGTATCAAAAGGCTATGTTAGTTTGTTATTCTTTTACTTTTCTATTCTTTTACTTCTATATAAACCAGGCACTTGGAAACTAAAAACAAATTAAATTTGAAACTGATCACTTTGATAACCTAGGACCAATTCTACTGTAAGAAATTAAGAGGTCATCAAGGGTATGAAAGAAAAGGGAATTTGAAAATTGGTATGACAGCAACAGCCACCTATTAGAATTAACAACCAGCAGCTCTAAAGTGAAAATCACTAGCTCTCATGGAATTCTCTAAGCTCTGAGTAATCATCGTCGAAATAAAGGTATAGCGGCACTCTTGGCTAATATTCCTGACACAAGAAATTGATGAAGAGAGGCATTCCAGACTGAGGATCAACGGAGAAGGTGCTGAGCATTCAGGAAGATGTATCCTGGCTGTAATTTTGAGAGATTAAGTTTTAATTTTTTTTTAATTAATTTAGCTTCTATAAGTGGGACTTTTATCTATTGTAATGGCATACCATTAGAATTTTGTTTTATTTGGGATTAGTTATAGTTAAGGGGGAATTGTTTGGTTTGTTAGTAGTTCTGTTAATTTGCTCACTGTTAGAGTTAGATAAATAAGTTGTTACTTATTGCTTATAGAGAGAGTGAAAGGATTTTATTTTATTTAACAATTCCTTTTATGACAGATTTGGGAGGTGAGAGGCAGGTTATACCACTTCTCTCACTTCCTTTAACAGATTGAGGCAAGGCAAGTTTCTCTTAGTGTTTCGGTTTTAGGGGGTTCAACCTCCGTTTCATGACACAATCCAGATCACATAATCCTGAAAGGTTGCATTCCCCAATTGTATGTACCATTTTATTCTATATTAAGTTTTAAAATGTTTTTGCGAACATCTGCGTTTCATGAATAATATGCATACAATTAAACAGTTTAAGCTTTTCCTTTACTCTGTCAAACTTCTTTATTAATTTCTGTACATTTCTACTGTGCAGCAGCAGCCATTTGGCACATTGAGTCTGCACCTTCCTTCCAAAGAGCATCCCACTCAAACCCATTCACTTCCCACCCCATTTCCTTTCACCAGAAATTCCAATGACTAATTCACCTAGCCTATACATCTTTTGTATTGTGGGAGGAAACCCATGCAGGCATGGGGAGAATGTGCAAACTTCCCACACACAGTTGTCCATGGCTGGAATAGAACCCATGTCCCTAGCACTGTGAGGGAGCAGGGCTAATCATTGTGCCGCCCTCCATGTCTCTGGAGTGATAGTGTTGCGGACCGTCACCTCGAGGGAGGGAAAAGATGAAGCATTCTCTCATTTTTCCTTGAATTTGGACATAATTTAAAATGCACACGACCAGGAGATTTGAATAATGAATGAAACGGGACCTTCTTTTACTCTGTGTCACTAAGCTTTCCAAGTTAAAGCAACTTCTTCATATTTCCGGTTTTCCTTCACGTGATCCAGCAGCAGTCACAAAGTGATGGATTAGCCGATATTTAATCAAACTATATGGCTGAATTTCTATGACTTAAGCATGAAATATTTTTCATGTTTCAGTGAGAGGTGGAAAGAATTGGTGGTACATCTGCGGCAATTTGGTTGCTACTTACAAGTTGAATCCAATTTTATTGATTTAACTACACAAAACCTAAGATGAACCATCATAGGATGTTGTCAACATGTCATAATTTTTCAGCTAAGATAAAAACTATGGTCTACAAGTGCATTCTTGACTTGTTCGTGTGTATGAGGATATTTTTACACCAGAAAGCAACAAAAAAAAATTAACTTGCTTCACTTTCCCTTCAGTGTTTGGTCGCTGGTTCCCTCATTGAAGTACATGAATCCGAAATGCTTGTATTGCACCCTCTAGCAGAGGACCTGCTGCGCAGTTTAGAGGAAGTACGCTACCTACTGCGGGAACAGAGTCTTTCTGATTTCACCGTTTATACTGATGACATCAAAGCAGCCCTTGTTCGGTTTGACAGGCTCTTGGCCGAGTTTGAGTTAAGGTAAGGGAGTAATACAGTAATAAACTCTGTCATGGACACTTGCAAATGGCAGTTTCAGCTTTTGTATTGATTTCAAACAATGAAAGAAGATTCCAGATAGCAAGAATTGCAGATGCTGGAGTCAGAGATAACACTGTGGAGCTAGAGTAACACAGCAGGCCAGGCAGCATCAGAGGAGCAGGAAAGTTGACGTTTCGGTTCGGGACCCTTCTTCAGAAATGGGGGAGGGGGAAGGGAGCTCAGAAATAAATAGAGAGAGGAGGGGTGGGGCTGGGGAAGGTAGGTGGGATGGTGATAGGTGAGTGCAGGTAGGCAGTGGTGGGGATTGGTTGGTGGGGCGGAACGGTGGGAGAGAAGATGGTCAGGTTATGTAAGGTCAAGAAGGCGGGGATGAGAGGGAGGGTTGGACATGGGGTGAGGCTGGAGGTGGGGAGATTTTAAAGCTGATGAAATCCTATGTTGAGGCCATTGGGCTGTGGGCTCCCGAGGCGGAATATGAGGTGCTGTTCCTTCAGTTTGCATGACACTGGAGGAGGCCCAGGATGGACATGGCACCCAGGAACTGGGAGGGGGAGTTAAAATGGTTGGTGACCAGAAGGTGTTGTTGATTATCACGTACAGAGCGCAGATGTCCTACAAAATGGTCTCTGAGTCTGCGCTTGGTCTCACCAATGTAGAGGAGGCCACATCGGGAGCAACGGATACAATAGACAAAGTTGACGAATGTGCAGGTGAACCACTGGCGGATATGGAAGGTTTGCTTTGGGCCTTGGATGGAGCTGAGGGGGGAGGTGTAGGGCAGGTGTGGCACTTCTTGCAGTTGCAGGGAAAGGTGCCAGGGGGTGGTGGGGTTCATGGGAAGTGTGGAGCAGACGAGGGAGTCACGGAGAGAGCAGTCCCTACGAAAGGCAGATAGGGGTGGGGAGGGAAATATATCTTTGGTTGTGGGGTTGAATTGTAGGTGGCGGAATTGGCGGAGAATGATACGTTGGATGAGGAGGTTGGAGGGGTGATATGTGAGGACAAGGGGGATTCTGTCTTTATTTTTGTTGGGGGGAGAGGGTTTGAGGGCAGAGGTGCAGGAAATGCAAGAGATGCAGTTGAGGGCATTTTTGATCATCAGAGGAGGATGAAGTTGCAGTCCTTGAAATAGGAGGAAGTCTGGGATGTCCAGGAGTGGAACGCCCCATCTTGGGAGCAGGTGCAGCGGAGGCGGAGGACTTGGGAGTAGGGGATCACATTCTTGCAAGAAGGTGAGTGAGAGGAGGCGTGGTCCAGGTGGCTGTGGGAATCGGTGGGATTGAAATAGACATCAGCGGTTACCGGAGACTGAGACTGAGACGTCCAGGAAGGGGAAGGAGGTATCGGAAATGGTCCAGGTGAATTTGAGGTTGGAGTGAAAGGTATTTGTAAAAACTGATGAACTGTTCAAGCTCCTCGTGGGAACACGCAGCAGCACTGATACAGTCATCAATGTAGCGGAGGAAGAGTGGGGGGATAGGTGCCAGTGGAGCAGCAGGAAAGGGGCTCCAAAATTTAAGGTAGTCTCTTTGGACAAAAGGACTTCAGAATCATAACTTGTAAAAAAAACTCTTATATAAAATGTCTACAATTCACGAATAAACTGACTACTGCATCCATATACAATGATAAAGTTTTGTCTTAGATGGACTCCAACAGTTCAAAAAGGCAGCTCACCACCAACTTCTCAAGGTCATTAGGTATCGCCAACCAATACCAGCCTTACCAGCAATGCTTACATTCACTGAGCAAATTTTTTTGAAATAATATCGGGACATTTTATAACCTATTTAGTATTTACTTTAGTTATATTTTTAAACCCTATCTGATATGTGTCATGTAATGCAAGTGAAATGACTCTATAAAAAGACGCATGGAGTAGCTTTGCTTTGGCTAAAGAAGTGGGAAATGCTGGCACAAAACCAGAGGTTGCTGGAAAAGCTCAGCAGGTCTGGCAGCATCCGTGAAGGAAAAACAGAGTTAACGTTTCGGGTCCGGTGACCCTTCCTCAGAACTGGGAAATGCTGCTGCCACACAGTTGTGGAGCCTGTCATTAATAAATGTAATTCAGAAAGGTCCTGACCTGAAACGCCAGCTTTCCTGCTCCTCTGATGCTGCCTGGCCTGCTGTGTTCCTCCAGCTCCACACTGTGTCATCTCTGACTCCAGCATCTGCAGTTCTTACTATCACTAATTCCTAATGAAGGTTGGTTTGTCCTGCACACATGGTCAGTTTTGTGGGAAGGATTTCTTCTACTGCAATACCAAACTTGAGCGGCATTGAATGTAATTTTGACTTAACCAGCTCTAAAGATCGTGGTTCTGCTGAGTTTGGGCAGAGCACAAGAAAAGCACCAGCTTATAATAATAGGCTTTTCTAACAATGTGGTAAGGGAGGGATAAAGATTTCTAGTCTGCGTACGCCTAACTGCACTCTGGAATCCACCCAACAACCAACCAAACAAGATCTGTATCTTAAAGTTTTAGACATCAATGTGATATTTTTGTTTATTTTTAAAACTATTTTTGTACTCCTTAAACTGAGAACATCCCTGCAGAGGTTGGGATGCACTATTGCCTTCCTATAGGTAAAAGGGGCGGCACGGTGGCTCAGTGGTTAGCACTGCTGCCTCACAGCGCCAGGCACCCGGGTTCGATTCTAGCCTCGGGTGACGGTCTGTGTGGAGTTTGCACATTCTCCCCGTGTCTGTGTGGGTTTTCTCTGGGTGCTCCGGTTTCCTCCCACAGTCCAAAGATGTGCAGGTTAGGTGGACTGGCCATGCTAAATTGCCCGTGGTGTTCAGGGATGTGGCAGGCTGGGTGAATTAGCCATGGCAAATACAGGGTTAGTGGGCTGAAGTGATTCTGGATGGGATGCTTTTCAGAGGGTCAGTGTCGACTTGATGAGTTGAATGGCCTGCTTCCACACTGTAGGGATTCGATGATTCTGTGTGATACCAGTGCTTAATGTTGCATGAGCAGCAGTTAAGATTACTGGTTTATGAATCACTGTATCAATGGAAAGACATTGGACCCCACTTAATTTTACTTTTGAAAAAGTAGGTGTACAGCAAACAGTGATGTGCTGTACAAATGAAGTGTTGATATGTTTTATTGTGATTTAGTTGCATCATATACTCAGCAAGCTTATTTGTAACCAACACCTTTTCTTAAAAAAAATTGGGAAAAGGAAATTATTCTTACAGCAGTTTATACACTGATCAATCTTCATTATACAGTTGTGGTTTGTTCTGAAATGTGACCTTTTATTTCAGCTATGTTGCTGCAGTGGTTCCCATCAAATCTCCTGAGGAATTCTACAGTCAGCAGCAGATTATTGTGCTGTTCTGTGAAACAATAGATAGGTTAGTCCTTCTGAATTTTCATCATCTTGTGCATGAATGCCTGACTCGCACAACTGTTACATTGTTTAGTGCAAATTATCCTGATGCGTGTCTGGATGATGCTGCTCTCTGTTGCTTTCACAGGCAGGTAGGAAAAGTAACTAGCCAACAGGTACTTGCCAACCAATATCACTGAGAACTGTTTATCAGATGATTAATGTTGTTTGTACAAAATTGACTGCTACAAACAGCAGTGAGCACAACTCAAAAAGGAATTTGTATTGACTGGTAAGTACTTTGAAACATCCTGAGGTCAAATTGTTCCATGTGACAATATTATTTTGTTGTTTTGGCACATTATTTAGACACCACCATTACTCTTATGTATTGCTGCAGATGGTCAGGTGCCAATTCTATTTTTGGTTACTGCGAATCTATGTTGCAATAGTATGCACAATACTAAATATTCAACAGTATTAAATTCTGTTGTGTACTGTGTGCCTGATTATACAGCTGAACTGTATAATTTAACTCCATGATCTGCCTCTCCATTTTAGATTTGTGTGTAAGCTTGAGATGTTTACAGCAGACCTCTGCATTGGGATTCATGGCATCCCCCCCAAAAAATAGCCACTGATCCAGAGACTCCACTCAATAACTCAAATTCAACTTTTCTCACAAATGCCTTTTAATTTTAATGCAGTTCCTTTTTCCATCTTGCATTCTGACTGTGTTTTATGTTTTGTAGGTCTTTTGTTTGTAATTTCCATGAAATAGAAGGTCTTTCTGCTAATTTTAAATCCACTGTTCTTATTATTTTATGTTTGGTTTCTCCTATTTACTCTGTCAAATGTCATCTTTCCATATTGCAGGGCATTGAAACTGGGTTACTTGACACAAGATATGATTGATGGTTTAGAGCCTGAATTGATGTTTACTATTCCACGGCTTGCTATCATTTGGTAAGGAGCTCAGTTTTCATGAACATTGGAAATAATTTAGTTCAAATGTGTATGCAAGCGGTGAAACCCGAAGGTGAGGTAAGAGGCTTCTTATGACATCAGACCAGCCTCTGTGTGGCATCAAAGTGAATCGGGGAGACTAATTTCCACTGCTACGCCAGATGGTGAGCTCAAGGGAAGATGACTGACCTCCAACAATCTCTCAATCATCTTAGCTGCAGGCCATCACTGTAGAAGCTCTTCACATTCGTAATCTAGGCCCAACCATCTCTAGCTGATTTCTCAGTGACCTACCTTTTTATGACCTACCTTTTGACTACTTCTGTAATAAATATCCAAATGCAGAAAGATCTGGACAAAAATCCAGGTTTGGTCAGACAAGTGGCAAATAATGTTGGCACCACAAGTACCAGAATTTGTTCATTGCCCCTTGATCCTCAGTGGCATTGCTATCACTAAGCTACTGAACAATCAACATTCTGGAGATTCCAATTTGACCAGACTTTGAACTGGACTAGCTATAAAAAAGACAGTGGTTACAAGAGCAGGTCAAAGGTTAGGAATCCTGTAGGAAGTCATTAACATTCTAATTCCCCAAAGTTTGTCCTCTATCGAGAAGGCACAAGTCAGTGTGTTAGCATACTCCCCATTCTGAGTGCATCTCCAACTACAATCAAGCTTAACACCATCCAGGATAAAACAGCCGCTTGATTAACACTACATCCACAAACATTCATTCTCTTCTTCAACTATGCTCGGTCACTCCAGTGTGTACCATCTACAAGATGCACTGAAGGAATACATATACAGCACCTTTCAAACCCATAATTATGACCACTACCATTCTAGATGGACAAGAGCTACAGTCACATGATAACACTACCACCTGCAAGATCCTCTCCAAGTCACTCACCATCCTGACTTGGAAATATGTCACTAAGTTGAAATCCTGAAGCTGTTTCCCTTACTGTGTTGTGGAGGTTCCTACACCAAATGGACTGCCTTCCAAATCTGTCACCTTTACCTGGAAGGACGAGGATGGCAGACTCATAGGAACATCACCGCCAGCACATTCCCCTCCAAGTCATGTATCATTCTGACTTGAAATTATATTGATCTTCCTTCGCAATCACTTAGTCCAGAATAAATCTTTTACCTCCCTGAGTCTTGCAGCAGCAAACGGAACCAGCTTACCATCACCTTCTTGAGGCCAATTAGGGTTGACTATCACTGCCCGTATCCCAAGAATGAAGTTTTAAAAAAAATTATCGTGTGAAATCTTCTCCTGATGGTTGCCGTTGCATGTGGAGGTTGTCAGATTAAAGTTCTCACATTCGTTTGACGTGAAAGCTGAACGTGAAATGGTTAGAAACTGGCAAATTTCCCGCTCTTTGATTTCGTCCAGAATGGGTTAGGTAATATTAATCTTTTATCACTTATGAGATCGGGAGTTCACATTGCTTGATTGATCGATTTGGATTGGAACATGATATGGTGGGGTGGGATGTGGAATTCTTCACTTCAATGCTGGAGATAAAAACTGAATAGTTTCTGTAACTGAAGGCTGATTCACAACCTTTGGCAGTTTTACACCAAGCAGTAAGTTGAAAATCTACTGCCTGCTATTTGCCATCTGATGCTGCGGTGACAGTGCAACACAAACGCAGTTTGACTCTATAGTAAAATGATGAAAGGTCAAGTCTCTCACTGCAGCCTTACCCCACTCTCTCTCGTACTCCCCTCACCTGCACTTCCGCTTTCTCTCTCCCCACGCTCTCTTTTCTCTCTTTTTTCTTTCGTTCTCTCTCTCTCTTTTCCTTTCGTTCTCTCTCTCTCGCTCTCGTTTTCATTCTCGCTCTTCGTCTTTGTTCTCCCCCGCACCTCTCTCTAAGGCCAACTGAGCTAACCATACAGTAAAACTAAAATAAAGCCAAAGGTTTCCATCCAGCTGACCTGATCCACAGGCCCTTTTTGTTTGTACTTGTTCCCAGTGGGCTGAGGATCTACCCAGAAGGACCCCTCAACCTACAGCAGGATCCCAACGATATGTCCATGCTTTTTAAACCGTTCTACACCCTTCTGCAAAAAATAAGGTAAGAGACACGTTGTGTAGTTTTGAAAGAAATAATCTTTGTTAAATTTAAATAAAAGATGACCAGCTAGGGGGAAAAAAGGTAATGCTGGAAATATCCAGTTGGCTGTTTGGCATCGGAAAGACAGATTTATTAACAAGATATATGTTGCTATTTCTGAAAGTTTGGATCCATTAGACTGGAAACGAACATATTTTTGATGTTTTTTTTCTGCAGGATGTTGAGTCTGATCTGTGATTGTATTTTCCTTTTTACTCCGTCAACAGTAAGGGATCTTGGCAGAACAGGTCACCTGAGACAATTTTTCTCCCTGTGTAGCCGTGCCTTGTGAAATCTATAGCTCAGAATATTAGTCCCCGAGATCCATGCAAAGTGCGATAGTGTCTAGTGGCAGAGCTTCCGTCCCTTCCATTCCTTCCGTCGACTTGCGCGTGAACCTTTGCAATCCACTAACAGACCAAAGCCCTCCTGTTTCTGTCATTGACCAGGGTATCTTGGAGTATTTGCCGATTTTCTTTTATTTCCTTTTGTGTCCCCTGTGTGTTGACTCGTTTTGTGCCGTGTAAGGAATTATCATTCCAATCTCATTGTTAATACCAGCTTTTGCTGCTCTTGGCCTGCCACCTGTTGCCCCTGATTATCTTTGCCTTTATAAAAAACTTTGCCCACATTTGATCATCAACACTCACCTGCAACCATCAATCTATCTTCTGAAATAGCCCCTATTTTACTGTGCTGTTTGATGCCAAACTGAGTCTGAGTTCAAGACAGATTAGTCAAGGAGAAGGCAAATTGAAAGGCTGTTTTCAGGCTTAGATTTCCAAGTAATACTATAGACGGGTTATTATTCAGAATGCTGTTGTACATGGTAATCCATAGATATAGCAGACTCTGACTTCACCTTTATAACTGTAAGTGAGTGAGCTCATGTCCATGTGCTTCTGTGAGTCTCAGTCTAGAGTGGTATAGTATAGTGTAGAATCAAACCTAATGTGATCTAACACTGCCCACACTCCTATTCATGGTCAGTGTGACTTTGTTGCAAGATTACTCCAGGGTCCTGAAGCCCTTGCACAACAAATTCCATAACTTCAAATTTTCAGGTTCAAGACCCCTGGCTGACCTACAAACCTGACCTGAATTCATCCAGATTCAGTGTTGCTTCATTTCCTTGGTTACGTTGGCCCTGGGGCAATTGCAAACCTGTAATAATGTCCCTTGACAGACCTAAAGATTGACTGACAGTTTTTGAAACACTGGAATGCAGTGTAAAACATTGTATGGTATATGTCAATCATCATGGTCAAGGCCTATAAACAAAGGTAGCGCCAGCTGACACAGAAACTGTGGATAACTACATGCAGAGTGCATAATTGTGTAAAGCACAGAACAGGCGCAACATTGCAGCAGGAATTGGATTGGCTTAGAGGGGGGAAGGACTTAGGTGGATGGTGATGACAGCTCCAATTTTCTCAGCTCTCCGCCCTTACTCTTATGCTGCAACCCCCTCCATGTTCATGGCCATGTTGGTTAATGTGGATGTATGTTTTCGCAGGGAATAATACGCAAATTGCACGGTGTCAGCATTCACAGCCATAAATGAATATCAATAAGTAAATGGATTGAATTGACAAGCCCCTTAAATAGAAGAAAATACGTGAAGGATACCTATTGAAATCTTTCTAGAATGTAAATGTATCTTTTGATTAGTTTAACCGTTTTGCAATCCAGTTATTTATTTTAGTTTTCTCATGACACTGAAAGCCAACAGAACTGAGATTTTACCTTCCACCCCAACCTCAAGTTCACCTGGACCATCTCTGATACCTCTCTCTCCTTCCTGGACCTCTCTGTCTCCATCTCTGGTAACCGCCTGGAAACTGATATCTATTTCAAGCCTACTAACTCCCACAGCTACCTAGAATACACTTCCTCCCATCCACCTTCCTGCAAGAATGCTATCTCCTATTCCCAATTCCTTCGCCTCCACCGCATCTGCTCCCAAGCTGAGGCGTTCCACTCCCGGACATTCCAGATGTCCTTGTTTTTCAAGGACCGCAATTCCCCCTCCTCAGTGGTCGAAAGCACCCTCTACCGCATTTCTCGCGTTTCCCGCACCTCATCCCTCACACCCCCTCCCCACAATAACAACAAAGACAGAATTCCCCTTGTCCTCACGTATCACCCCATCAATCTCCGGATTCAACGCATCATTCTCCGTCACTTCCGCCACCTGCAATCTGACCCCACTACCAAAGATATATTTCTCTCCCCACCCTTATCTGCCTTCCGGAAGGACCACTCTCTCCGTGACTCCCTTGTCCACTCCACACTCCCCACCAGCCCCACCACCCCCGGCACTTTTCCCTGCAATCGCAGGAAGTGCTACACCTGCCCCTACACCTCACCCCTCACCCCCATCCCAGACTTCAAGAAACCCTTCCACATCAAACAAATGTTCACCTGCACATCTGCTAATGTGGTATATTGTATCCGTATTTTACTGATACTTGTTCAGACTTCTCCAAAATATTAAAGGTTATGCTAATGAAAGTGATTGGATTATTTCAAGCATGCAATTGGATAAAAGCTGCTTTTTTTTTGTGAAATGAATATCTTACCTTCACTTTTCACTTTATCCCTAGAGACTTGCTTTATGTCCTCACAGAAGAAGAACTCTCTTTCTTAGAGAAGAGCCTTTGTGCTGTAGAAGCTGAGGATTTCTTCAGTACCAGTTCAGTGCTGCCCAGCCTTTCATCCCTTCATAACAGCAGGGATCATGAAGGGCTTGGTGAATCAACACATACCAATGAGGTTTCATCTATTCCACAAGATTCAGAAGAACTTGCCCAGTTGAAGTTAATTGTCCACCGAGCACCCAATGAAATGTATTCCCATCATTCCAACTCCAATATGGCCAATTTATTCAAGCAACCTCCAAATGAAATAATACGATCTTTGGAAGCTTCTAATCTTCAACTCAGGACAGAAAACGAATTGTGGGGACAAGAGTTTGGACGAGGCACCACTGACAGCAGACTGGAGAACACACCGAATCAAAATGCAACAATCCTGGACTGCAGCCCCGAGTCGTCATTATCTGCTTCTGCTGATGGTTTAACTCATTCCAATGTCATTCGGCACTTTAGCGTGGCAGAAAATAGCTTTGCTTCTGAAAGTGACCATCCACAATTAGCAAGGCTTGAAGCAACAGGAACATCTACATTTTATGTCGCCCAAACTCACCATTTTACTGATTCTCCAGATACAAGCTCTGTGCCAATTACTTCTGAGCAGTACAATGTTGCCCGTTCAGTAAGTGCTTTTACTTCTGGTCAGGACACTATGAAACAAAAATCTGGAGCTTCATCTGTTCTAAGCACATATTCCAGAAGAGAGCATATGGAAAGGATTGAGGAACAAAATGAAATGATAAACACCAGTCACGACAAGACAAAGCAGTACAGTTATAATGGAAAAACCCCAAGTACTCCAACGGTGCCTGAAGATTCACACTTGAGTAACTTAAGGTGAGGATTGTAGAGGTTTGGGATATCACGGAATAATGACAATACAATACTAATGAGGGTGTCATATTGGCACAGTGTTCGTATTGCTGCCTCACTGCACCAGGGACCCAGGTTTGATTCCAGCCTTGGGGAAACTATCTGTATGGAGTTTGCACATTCACCTCGTGTCTGCGTGGGTTTCCTCCAGGTGCTCCGGTTTCCTCTCACAGTGCAAAGATGTGCAGGTTAGGTGGATTGGCCATGCTAAATTGCCCATAGTGTCTGGGAATGTGCAGGCTGGGTGGATTAGTCATGAGAAATGATGGTTATCGGGTATGTCTTGGTGGTATGCTCTTAAAGGCCAGTGCAGTCTTGATGAGCTGAATAGTCTCTATCTGCACTATGGGGATTCTATAATTCTGTGTAAGCAATTATTGAAGGCCCAAACGTGGTTTTGTAACAACAGCTTGCTGAGCAGAATTGCTTTTTGTTTCTTTTGTGCATCCTCCATTGCAATAAAATCTAAAAGAAATTAAAATGCACCAGATATACAATATTCAAAGCTGAGTTAGATTTTTTGACCTTGAAAGCTGTCAGGATTATGTCAGAAAAGGGGTGCTGTGATTACAATTGGATCAGCCATGATCTAATTGAATGATCGATCAGGCTTGATGGCCTGAATGGCCACCTGCTGCTCATATTTCTTCTTCAGCCTCGAGCTCAAGGTCTTTTCTATGAGCATTGAAAAGCACAGAAAACGTGCTTTCTACTTGATCATCATTAAGTAGTTCCTGTGTGTGTCTTAGTGCATCTTGAAGAGTCATCATGAAATTACCTGAAATTTACACAATTTGAGCAGTTGTATTTGCAAAATGTTGTATCGAGTTGTTATTAAGTAAATTTCAACCTCCATGAATTTTGGATCTAATCTGGATATTGACTATTCCATGCAATTGAAATCTCTTGCTTGGTAAGGGTGTAGGTTGGAAATCTCTTTCGCGTATTAAAGCAATTCCTTTAAAACTAGCATGCCACCTTGGATAGCATTTCCGAAGGGTAGACACTCCTGAGAGAATTTAGCAACCAATACTCTAACTAAAGTAAAATTAAGTTGCTTTAAAGATGTTCTCGTATATTAGGTGTAAAGACTCCACAATAGGAAGCCAGCAGGCAAAGCAGGAAGTAGTCTGGTATTCCTGGACACAAATACTGAATAAGTAATTTCTCCCCCTGCTTTACGTCACCTATATTTATTTCAGATTTTTCTATCTTATTGTTGAGATCTGCTCCTATGATGAAATTTGAGGGTAGGCAAAAGTGGTCCAGAAACCACCTTGATTGAATGGAACTAGTGCATTGGATCCATCAAGATATCTGGGTAGCTTTTACCTTTAAGAAAGTAATTCTTTCATGACTGTACTGACCATAAGACCATCAGGAATAGAAATAGGAGGAGGCCATTAGGCCCCTTGAGCCTGCTCCACAATTTGACAGGATCATAGCCGATTTGAGAGTCAGCATATTTTGTTTAGCTGAAAAAAAGTTTAATATTGCAAGATTTTGAAAACTAAAAGACCAGGTAACTAGGAATGGGGAAATACATGCTGACCAAGCAGCATCCTATGAAAAAATTTTAAGCATGTGGTTGCATATTTGCTTATGTACTTTGCTGGCAGCGCATTAGAGCGAGAGAGTGGATCTCGAGTTGTGGATCATGAAGCAGTGAAGCAGGCAGTGAGAGCGACTGTCAGGGAGGAACTCCAATCAAGGTATCGCAGCCGCAGTGACATGCTTCATCGGCTCTTCGTTTGTATCTCCGGTATGTTATTCAGTACTTTTTAATGTCACAGTGCAGCCTTGCAGCATTAATGTGTCATGCCATGGCATGTAAACAATTCTGTTTGATTTTCATACCCCTCATTTCACTGACTTCCTGATTCTGCGGCCACATTTCTGTAAATGGGATAATGCGAAGTCCTAGGGAGCATTGGTTCTATTCCCTTCTTGAAGACCAGAGAGTGAGATTTCAACCCAGTTGTAGGGAGTCTGAGGAGTAGGTTATGATAGCCTTGTGATTATGGTACCAGCCCATTAAACGAGAGATTGTAAATTCCAGTCCTGCTGTTGCAAATGTATTTAAACACCAATAGTAATTGTGTGCTACAACCAGCTGACTCATCGATATAAATCTCTGTCCATTCTCTGACACTCCTATCCCACACCCTCAGGACAGGAAAAATATGCTTATTAGTGTCCCATACATTTTACAAGATGCACTATAGTAATCAGGGAAGATTCCTCCAATAACACCATCCAACCCCATGACATTGAAGGACAAGGAGAGCAGATGAATAGGAACACCACGACCTGCATTCCACAGTGACCCCCAAAACAAACCCACAATTTTTCTGGAAGGAAGAGACTTAAAGGTTGTTAGTCACTGGTATTGATCTTGCATGGATTTACTTTGCTCACAGTGACCATATATCAGAGTGATGGGTGTGTTTTGGAATAGGTGTAGCAGACCAACTTCAGACCAACTTTGCAGGAGACTTGCGGCAGATTTTAAAGACTGTCTTTGAGATTGCAACATCAACACCAGAAAAGAATACGGATGTTCCAGAAGAGGAAACAGGTACGGTGGATTTTACTTTGTAATTGTAGTCTCAAATTTTTCACCTCTTTATAGGAAGATTTATAAAGGATACATTAATTGAGTACTGAGAGACCACCTCCATTCAGATCTGAGAGTATATAAGTTTGACTGTCTGTAGCCCTCAACCCAGGAATAACGGGACATTATCAAGAGACCAGTGATTGCGCATAAATTTTAGAAAGATTGAGTCCTTTTCACTTTCCTGCTGTAGCAGGAGATGGTGATTCTGACCCTGATCTGCTGATAGGATACTGCAGTGTGGCGGGGTACTGTGAGCAATGGCCTTTTTGAAGAGTTTGGATAAGTGATGGCCACAGGGAAAGCCCTGCAATATCACTACTGTCAGAGGTGCAGCTACAATAGCAAGGGGGTTGGCGTTTATAAAGTGCAGAAACATGCAGTTCACTAGGGAAAGCAATCAAACAAATATTACTCAATACTGAACCTCTCCAAAATGTAACATTTTGATCTGAAACAGAATTTTAACAATATTCAATACACACTATATGAATTTAAAAGTTAGAAATGAGCTGTATACTTGCTTTATTTTAAACTTTGCCCCTTGCAGAGGAAGAGCATGCTCATCTGGAGCCCACTTTGGAAGATTGTACCCTGTGTCAGGAATCGCATTCCTATGCTTCTAGAACTTCCAATTTAAACAATAGCAAATTAGAAGGTACATTAGAAGCTACCATGTTGAAAAAAAACTGCCTATAATTAGACAGCACTATTTAATTGTGAAAATATTGGTGCAAGGTTATGTTTCTTGCTCCACGCGGCACAGGAGCAGAAGTGGGCTATTCCAGCCTTTTGAGTTTGCCTCACTGTTCATTGAGAGCATGGCTGATCTGATAATCATCAAGACCATTTTCCTGCCTTGCGTCTTAACCCTTGCCTTGCTTTAAAAGTCTGTCTGTCTCTGTCTTGAATATACTCAACAACCCAGCCTCTACAACCCTCTGTAGTGATGAATTCCACAGATTCACTACCCCCAGAAAAACACTCTCCTTAAGTCTCTTTTACATGGGCATCCCCTTACTCTGAGATTATGCCCTCTGGTCTAGGACAGTTCCACAAGGGGAAACAACCTGTCAGCATCTACTCTGCCAAAATCCCTTAAATCTTGCATTTTAATAAGGTTGGCTCTCGATCTTCTGAACTTCAGTGAGCACAGGATCAACCTACTCCCCGTTCCTCATCAGAAAATCGCTTCATGTCTGGGATCAACCTAGTGAACCTTCACTGGACTGCCTCCAATGCAAAATTATTTTTCCTTTAATAAGGAAACCAAAAGTGCTCTCAATTTTCCAGCTGCGGTCTAACTAGTACCTTGTGTAGTTTTAGCAAGGCCTCCCTATTTTTTACACTCCATTCCCTTTGAAAAAAAAGGGTCCCAGGCCTTTGTAAATCTGCCCCTAGGTTTCCTATCAGCTCGAACCATCTTGCTCAGTTGCAGCAAGGAAAATACTGCTTCTCAATCCCTACTCTTGACCGTACTGAAAGACTAATTCTGTGCAGGTTTCTTCTGAGCCCTTCTCACTTTGTGGGGGCTCCCTGAGCCCTCACTACCCAGAGCTATTCAGCAGCTGTATGACTTTGCTGAGTCCACATCATACTAGGCCTGTGTATTTCAGCTGCTATTAACAGCACAGTTATGTTCATTGTGAAGTTGATTGTAGCAAGTCAAGATTCAAATCCATTATTGTTCATTTCCAGCCATGGACATGGCAAGTTCTGGATCTCAGTTGTATAACTGGTTGAAAACATGCTCATGAGATGATAGTTTCCTCCCAAATTCTCCCTCCTTTTCCCCCTGCCCCCCCTCCCTCTCAACACAGAGCTTCAGTTTCTGTCTAAGCTGTTTTGAACTGCTCTTCCATGACCCCAGAACAGACCTGAGTGACTTATTTTAAAACCTTGCAAGAAACCCCACTCCTGCTGGACAGCATTTGAATGTCGCTGCCTAACCACACTTGGAACTCCGCCTGCTTTGAATGTTACATGTAAGAGAATGCTGGCTTGCTCAGTACTAAAGAAAAATGGATATAGCTAGAAGGTTTCATCACCATTTCAACGAATGCTGTCATGGAAGAATTTTTGAAAAACTGTTGCTACTCTCACGGGATTAAGTGATAGGAGATAGTGGTAGGCGATTCAATGGTTAGGGGAACAGACAGGAGATTCTGTGGTACCGAGCGAGACTCCCAGATGGTATGTTGCCTCCCGGGTGCCAGAGTCAGGGATGTCTTGGATCGAGCCTTCAGGATTCTTAACAGGGAGGGAGAGCAGCCAGAAGTCGTGGTACACATCGGTACCAATGACATAGCTAGGAAATGGGATGAGGACGGGAAAAGTGAATATAGGGAGTTAGGATGGAAGCTGAAAGCCAGGACGAGCAGAGTAGTAATCTCAGGATTACTACCGGTGCCACGGGCTAGTGAGGCCAGAAACAGAGCGAGTGCAGCTGAACACGTGGCTACAGAGCTGGTGTAGGAGGGAGGGCTTCAGGTTTGTGGATCATTGGGATACCTTCTGGGGAAGGTGGGACCTGTACAGGAAGGACGGGTTGCACCTGAACTGGAGGGGTACCAATATCCTGGGCGGGAGGTTTGCTAGAGCTCTTTGGGAGGGTTTAAACTAGTTTGGCAGGGGGATGGGAACCAGAGCGACAGATCAGAGGATGGGGTAGCCAGTGTACAGACAGACAGAGCAAGCAGAGAATCTCTGAGGAAGGATAAGCAGCTGATAGGGCAAAGTGGCAGTTAGTGTGATGGGTTGAGGTGTGTCTATTTCAATGCAAGAAGTGTCAGGAATAAGTGTGACGAACTTAGCGCATGGATCAGTACTTGGAACTACGATGTTGTGGCCATTTTGGAGACTTGGATAACACGGGGAGGAGTGGTTGTTGGATGTTCCGGGGTACAGATGTTTCAAAAGAAATAGGGAGGGAGGTAAAAGAAGTGGGGGAGTGGCATTGCTGAACAGGGATGGTATCACAGCTGCAGAAAGGGAGGTCATGGAGGAGGGTTTCTCCACTGAGCCAGTATGGGCGGAAGTCAGAAACAGGAAAGGAGCAGTCACTTTATTGGGAGTTTTCTATAGACCAATAGCAACAGAGACACTGAGGAACAGATTGGGAGACAGATTGTGGAAAGGTATAGAAGTAATAGGGTTGTTGTCATGGGTGACTTCAACTTCCCTAATATAGACTGGAACCTCAAGTGCAAATAGTTTGGATGAAGCAAATTTTGTCCGGTGTGTCCAGGAAGGATTTCTGACTCAATATGTAGATAGGCCGACTAGAGGGGAGGCCATATTGGATTGGGTGCTTGGCAACGTACCAGGCCAGGTGTCAGATCTCTCGGTGGGAGAGCATTTCGGTGGTAGTGATCACAACTCCCTGACCTTTACTGTAGTCATTGGAGAGGGATAGGAGCAGACTGTATGGGAAAGTCTTTAATTGGGGAAGGGGAATTACAATGCTATTAGGCAAGAACTATGGAGCGCCAATTGGGTTCAGATGCAGAAATGTGGAGGTTGTTTAGGGAGCAGTTGCTACAAGTACTGAATAGGTTTGTCCCACTGAGGCAGGGAAGGGATGGTAAGGTGAAGGAACCTTGGATGACAAGACATGCGGAACATCTAGTCAAGAGGAAGAAGGAAGCTTACTTAAGGTTGAGGAAGCAAGGATCGGACAGGGCTCTAGAGGTCAACAAAGTAGCCAGGAAGGAACAGAAGAATGGACTTAGGAGAGCTAGAAGGGGATATAAGAAAACTTTGGCGGGTAGGATTAAGGAAAATCCCAAGACATTCTATGCTTATGTGAGGAACAAGAGGATGGCCAGAGTGAGGGTAGGGCCAATCAGGGATGGTGGAGTGAACTTGTGCGCGGAGTCAGAGTAGCTAGGGGAGGTCTTTAATGAATACTTGGCTTCAGTATTCACCAGTGAGAGGGACCATGACGTTTGTGAGGACAGCATGAAACAGGCAGATATGCTCGAACAGGTTGATGTTAGGAAGGAGGATGTGCTAGAAATTTTGAAAAACATGAGGATAGATAAATCCCATGGGCCAGACAGGATATACCCATGGTTACTACGGGAAGCGAGGGAAGAGATTGCTGCCCCTTTGGCAATGATCTTTGTGCCCTCACTGTCCACTGGAGTAGTACCAGATGATTGGAGGGTGGCAAATGTCATTCCCTTGTTCAAGAAAGGGAATAGGGATAATCCTGGAAATTACAGACCGGTCAGTCTTACTTCTATGGTGGGCAAATTATTGGAGAGGATACGGAGAGATCGTATTTATAATTATTTGGAAAAGCACAGTTTGATTAGAAATAGTCAGCATGGCTTTGTGAGGGGCAGGTCATGCCTCTCCAGCCTTATTGAATTCTTTGAGAATGTGACAAAATACATCGATGAAGGTAGAGCAGTGGATGTGGTGTATATGGATTTTAGCAAAGCATTTGATAAGGTTCCACATGGTAGGCTCATTCCGAAAGTAAGGAGGTATGGGATTCGGGGAAATTTGGCTGTCTGGATACAAAACTGTCTGTCCAATAGAAGACAGAAGGTGGTAGCAGATGGAAAGTATTCAGCCTGGAGCTCAGTGACCAGCGGTGTTCCGCAGGGATCTGTTCTGGGACCTCTGCCCTTGGTGATCTTTATAAATGACTTGGATGAGGAAGTGGAAGGGTGGGTTAGTAAGTTTGCCAATGACACGAAGGTTGGTGGAGTTGTGGACAGAGTGGAGGGCTGTTGTAGGTTGCAACGGGACATCAACAGGATGCAGAGCTGGGCAAAGAAGTGGCAGATGGAATTCAACCCAGAAAAGTGTGAAGTGATTCATTTTGGAAGGTCAAATTTGAATGCAAAATACAGGGTTAAAGGCAAGATTCTCGGCAGTATGGAGGAACAGAGGGATCTTGGGGTCCACGTCCATAGATGCCTCAAAGTTGCTACCCAAGTTGATAGGGTTGTAAAGAAAGCGTATGATGTATTGGCTTTCATTGGCAGGGCAATTTAATTTAAGAGCTGTGAGGCTATGCTGCAGCTCTCTAAAATTCTGGTTCGACCACACTTGGAATATTGTGATCAGTTCTGGTCACCTCATTATAGGAAAAATGGGGAAGCTTTAGAGAGGGTGCAGAGGAGATTTACCAGGATGCTGCCTGGACTGGAGGGCAGGTCTTATGAGGAAAGGTTGAGGGAGCTAGGGTTTTTTTCATTGAAGCGAAGAAGGATGAGAGGTGACTTGATAGCGGTGTACAAGATGATGAGACGCGTAGATAGAGTGGATAGCCAGAGACTTTTTCCCAGGGCGGAAATGACTATTATGAGGGGGCATAATTTTAAGGTGATTGGAGGAAGGTATCGGGGAGATGTCAGAGGTTCTTTACACAGAGAGTGGTGGGCGTGTGGAATGTGCCGCCAGCAGTGGTAGTGGAGTCAGATAAGTTAGAGAATTTTGAGTGACTCTTGGATAGGCACATGGAGGATAGTAAAATGTAGGGTATGCAGGGTAGATTGATCTTAGTAGGATAACACGTCAGCACAACATCAGGGGCCAAGGGCCTGTACTGTGCTGTACTGTTCTATGTTCTACTATCTTCAATGACTCATCACCAAACAAATTCAACTCTTGCCCTCTTCCTGCTGCCTTCTCATGTCTGAATGGTTTCTCTTACCTAGGTTGGGAAGACTTATCAAGAGAAAGACTAAATTTATTTTCAGTATAGTGATTTATTTTTCAGTTTTAATGGTACTCGTGGAAATAACAACATATTTTTCCCCTCCTTTTATAGCGCCCCCAGAGTGGATTGCAGATTCTGCCTGCAACCAATGCATGTCCTGTAGAGCACCATTTACAATTGTCCGAAGGCGACATCACTGCAGGAATTGTGGAAAGGTATGGAATGTTAAACGTTGCAATGTAAAATTAGGATCTACATGGAGGAGAGTAACTGACACAGTCTGATGTAGGATCTTTGCTGCTTGGGCTATCAATGGCTTCAGCCAGTGCCCTACACTGTGAAAGTGGGACTTTGGGTTTAACTGGCCATCAATTTTGCAACCTTTGCATTCCACTAAATGACCAGTGCATAAACTATATTTATAGTTTCTGTCACTGAGTGAAATTTATATAATTGGCATTTTACTTTGCTGATTTTTCTTTAATTTTGTTATATTAAGACTTTCAGAAAAAGTTGAAATGGAATCCTTAAACTGAAATGTGCTCCTTTTTTAGTAACCCTTTTAAAGACCACATTTTTCTTATCTCTCTCCAGCTCAGCAGTGTAATCAGATCAACATGATAGCAAGCGATCCACTCCAAATGATCAATGGGAGGTGCCGTCTCGATCAGCTACCCTTGCTATGTTCTTTTTTTGGGTTTCTTGACCCGGCAGTTTTGTTCCTTCTTCATTACTGCACTATCCCAGTTTTTGAAATTGTAGGGAAAACTTCTTGTAGAATTGCAATGCAATGTTTCAACATAATGTCACGAGTAAATGAAGTACCAAAAGTATAAAAATAGCACAGATGTGCAATCCAATCAAATCAAAATCCACATATACTATGGCATCAAGGACCATACATGCCTTTCTTTTTGTGTTTACAATGTATGTTTTTCAAGAAGTTTGATCTCTCTCTCTCTCTCTCTGCCTGCCTGCCTGTCTGTCTGTGTCTCTTCCCACCACCCCCCCCAACCTAAAAATTGGCTGCCACGTGTCCTGCACTAAGTCAATAACAACAACTGTTATTCCACTGGCCCCAAAGTGCTTTCCTTTTGGGACACTGAGGTCATGAAAAGTACTACATACACAAGCCTTGTTTATGAAGAGTCTTGCAAGTTATAGTGAAACTAGGGAAATCGACAAATCACACAAAGACCATTCTAAGATGGTGACAGAGGAGGACTCAGCTGGAGCTTGGCCACACCCCTGCACGTTTTTCTTTTCCCTTTCTCGTGTTTTTTACCCCTTTGTCTTCTCAGCAACATTCTGAACTCCCCAGCCTCCCGGCCCGGTGTGGACTTGCATCCTCAAGAGCCTCGGTGAAGACTGGTCCAACCTGGAGTCTAGGCCCGGTGTGGACTGGAGGCTGGGTGCTGACATGGACTGGGTTGGAAAGACCGTTACTCTGAATTTTTTATTTCTTTTCTTCCCCCCGCTAAGAATTCGTACTTAAGAATCTGTACCTATGTACCTTTGTACCTCAGGTGGCAGCATGAGTGGCAACATGTAAACTTTTCCCTGTACTCATGAGCACATGTGACAATAAAGCTAATTCTAATTCCAAAGTAAAAGTTAAGGTCAAGTTGCTACAGTCCTACCTGACCATAGGGCTGTTCTGTCATTACAGAGAGACGATTGGTGGAGGTTTAACCTGAGGGTCACATGCCTCTGGCAAGGGGATAGAGTGAGGAGGAGAGTCCTTTGTGGTAACCTCAGTTTGTGCAGGAATTGGACCCACACTGTTGGCATCACACTGTATCGCAAACTAGCTAGCCATCTAACCTCCTAAGCACACTAACCATCTTGCAATTGGGCACAAGTCTGAGAGCACTTTGAAGCACACGTTACATATCAACAAATGTATGTTTGTGTCAAGAACCAATCTTCAGACTCCAAATCAAAATACTATGATTGATTTACTTTTAATTCTTACTCATTTAGTGTACCTGTTGCTGTTTAGAAATGGAGGTGTTATGTCTATTTTTCTGTTCGTACTTTATCATGGTGTTTACAAAGGAGCTTGACTTGAAGCAATGTGTATTTAATTGTTGTTCTTTGCGTGGCTGGGTCATATTAAAAGACTTAGTATACAGAGGGAACAATACCAGCCCTTTATTGTATTCTTCACTGTCAGAATGTGCTGCAAATATTCAACTTCAACTTTCTTCTGTTTCAGATCTTCTGTTCCCACTGTTCTTCCCAGTCAGCACCATTGCCTTGGTATGGGCACATGAAACCAGTCCGTGTCTGCACACACTGTTACACATTTCACCTCAGTCCCTGCTACTCCAGTACATCAACATGTTAACCTGAAACTCAAGACGAGTGAGTCTCCACAGACTTGCAGGGTGAAAAGAAGTGGAACAAGCCAATGGTAATGATTGATGCTGGGGATTTGATTCTTGTGAATAGAGGATAACCATCTTCAAATTACCATGACCACACAAAATCCAAAAGTCCTTAGTCCAGCTTTGTAGTCTCACTTCAACATATTAACTCTGATACCAATGCAAATCTATAAAGAACAACTGTTTATTGTGCATTATTTATGCAGCACTATCTGATATCAAAGATGTGCTTACTAACTCACTTTATTTTAATAGCTGCATCTTTTGATTCCTTCAGATTGGATAAAGGTAATCAGCAGCATATTTGTATGGTTTTATAGTAGGGGTTATCAGATTCTAAATTTTGTAACTTTTTTCATCAATGGAATTTGCTTCTATAAATTGCTCATGGGCTATAGGAAATGGAAATCAATGCAATATGGGGAATAGTATCAAATCTGAGAAATAGGGGTAAAAATGTAGGTTCCTGGGCACAATTGGTCCTTTTATGCTGCAGCCAGCAGTTTTGATGGATATTCAGTGATCCAGCTGGAAAGACCAGCTTATTATCCTTCTACTGAAGCAGCCTGGACTATTAATGCTAATGCAGTTTACCAGAGTTTACGTTCTACAAAAGCTGACACTTGTAGAACACAGAAATTTTGATGCTTTCCAAAAAAAAAACTTGTGTGCAACATTTTTGGATTAATATCATGGAACAAAAATTAAGTATGATGTCTAGACAAATGGGTTTTGGTCCCAATGTATTAGTTATAATGGCAGGAAGTAGTGTCAAAGTTAATGTTGGTAATTGACACAATTGCACAAAGTTGCAGCTCTTATGGTATTTCATAAATTTCAGTAACCTCATCTCTGAAGTTAATGGAATGCTAAATTTTGACACGTAGCAGCTGATCACTGAAGTCAGAAGGAAGAGGTTGAGGGTTTGAACTCGTTTTGGTCATAACTTCACTTGGAGTTGGCTAGCATATAGTTTAGGAAATATGGTAACTTTTTTGTACGTATCACGAAATGTATTGGTTTCCAATAAAATACCCATAACTAGCTCAGGAATTTCAGCCTCAGTTGAAATCATTCATCACTTTGTCAAGTCTACCCTCTTCAATATTTTAATTGATAAAGTGAGGAATCAAATATACAATCTATTTATAATGATTAGATGCAAACATCACATCAAAAGATCTTGGGAAATTTATTATAATGGTTTATGGACTAGTTAGCAGCATGTTTTGAAAGTTTGCCCATTTTCCAAAGTGAAATAGAGACTGAATCTGACTCAAACTTTAAGTTTAGCAATCAGTACTGAACACATTGCTGAATAACATTTTTCTTAGCTCAATCTTCAATGATGTTTCAGATCATTGACTCATCTAATATTTATGTATGCTGCAATTACACTAGAATTATATTTGCTGCACACATATTTCCAGTGAAGTTCAGATTGCAGTTTTTGTTTGGTACTCCGTCATGTACTCTCATCCTTGTATTTTACAGAAAAAATGCACTTTAATACAAATTATAACTTGTCTTGCAGATATCCATTTTAATTAAAGTCCATGAAAATTCTGCATATAAAACCTTTGGAACAATCACTCTGGAGTCCTTCAGATAATGAAAACTTAGTAAATTGCAATCAAGTGTTTTCACAAAACAAATTAATTTTCAAGATGTGATTGGTTTGTAATCTTCAGTTTTTTTCATCTTTTTGAAGTCAAACACATTAATTCCCCATTCTCTCGTCTAGATTTCTTTTTTTGGTAAAATTGGAACAGGTCTTGGATTGAAATAATGTCAAGTTTTATAACCTTTGAAAAGATTTTGTGGAAGGTAATGCTATTTGCTATCATCTTCTGAAAAATGCCAGCTCTGATATAGTGTAATCTGGTTGTTAAGGGAACACCCTATTGTTTACCTCCCTTTGATTGTCATCTCCAAACTAAAGTCCAATATTTGTAGTTAAATTTGTTGATCATCTTCTGAATAATTACCAAGTTATACTGTTACAAGTCTCCAACGCACAATAAACTGAACAGGTTACAAGAGACTGTATCAATTCCATTTGAATTTTAAATCCAGGAATGTTTTTCTCTGTTTCAAGTCAACTTGATTTATGAAGGTAGTCACTTCTAGAATAAACTCTCCGCTCCTTCAACATGTGATAAAGTATTTGTTATAAGTGCTCACGTATTTGGGGAATAACCAGTACTTAGAGAGAAGGAAAAAATCGTTCATGACGTTTCTTCTGCAAATGTCCCTTCCTCTTCATCCATTGATTAGTATTAACTCTTCCACCAACCCAAAATTCACTGATTATTTCAAAGGAGTATTAAATTCCCTCCCTTAAAAAATTAAACATGTACAAATGTGTACAGCATGTATCTCATTACACAAATCTGAATAACATATTTGTGTTTCAGTGATCCAAAGGGGGAAACCATCCAGTGTTTCTATAGGCTGAGAAATAATAAATTTTCAGAAGGTAAACTGTGTTGACTGGCACTGTAACTGAAACCTGTACCTAGAATTCAAGAAATTGAACATATCAATTGATTGACTATCTTAACATTTAATTCTGTTCACTTTAAAAAAAAAAAATTAAGCTTGACATTTGCCTCAAACATTTTTTTTGTAGTAACTGCAACTCAAATGAATCAGTGGTTTAAAATAAAAATGCAAACTGAACTTCAGGATGCTTTTTTTTTCATTTTAACTTGTAAATTCTGTACTTGATGCTATTAATTTGTTGAATTTGACAGAGACAGTAAGTGATTGTAGGACGTACCCTTGAACAGTTTTTTTTTTTTAGAAACAGCAAGAAGTGGAATCTGGTTCTGGTCTTCTGTTTTCCTGACTGCCAGAAGTGAACTGTTTGACTTAAACTAACCACACTCTTTCCATTCCACACCAAGTGGTACAAATACATTGAAGCAATCTCTGGTGTAACTTTTTTTTTTTTTTTTTTTTAAAAAGTTTGACTGATAAAATGTTTAATTGAAAAATGATAACCATAAATATTTAGAAAACTAAGTGGAAATTAACACTATTGTGAACACCTCTGGAATATTGCTGTACAAACTTTTTTTTTTATCAATTTGCATTTCAACACAACTTTCAATAATATTAATTCAAAGAGAAAAACCAACATTCTCTCATGCAGCATCAGTGATTGGTTTGTAAGTGGTCATTTTGTTGGGTAATTGAGTGTGCAAAACATTACACCAACAGCCAATTTAGATTTGTCAGTTGGACAGTGTGTTTGGTGCATTTATGTGAACTGAAATTGCATACAAACACACAGAAGCCAGTTTCAAAAGCCATTCACTAGTTCATTGGTCAAGGTGATGACTTGAGGAATCAGCCAAACTACAGATTTAATAAAATCTGCCAGTTAGCTGAAAATCATCAGTTGTAGTACATTTTGCATAGCAATGCTGGAGTCCATTTGCCAACCAATCAGCCCTCTCTCTTCATGCAGCATGTTTGTTTTTTCCTCCTTGAATTGATATTCTTTCAAACTGTCCTCCTGAATGTAAGAGAAAAGGTTTTGGCAAAAAAAAAAGGTGCCTTTTCTCAGTACTACTAATGTTCTGCACTACCAACTGACTACTTTGTATACACCAGAAATAAGAATTTGTGCACTTCATTATGGACAAAGTAGTTTTCCATTTAATTTGATTCAGGTTACTCTAAGTGAATTGAGGGTTTAGTCTGGGTGAAACAGTCTAAAGACTGACAGGCAGAAATGATGCAACAGGTGGGCTTTCATTAAAAAGATGGTTTGAGAATAGTCAGTGTTTTGCCTAAGGAGAGCAGGTTGAAAATGGAAGATATCCAGGAATCTCGGGGTTTTGGTTAAAATTGAGAGGTCAAGTTACACAAGGTACAAATATGTAGTACATCAAGATTTTTATTATTAGCAAATGCGAAACTTTTTCTGCAGGCATATTAATAAATAGTAAAAGGGTTGTCAAACTAACTGAGAGGCTGATTTAGGCAGGGATCAGAATGGGTAGAGGCAAATACACAGCTAAGGTACTAAATAAAGATGTGGAGATACTAGAAAGGCTCTGTTATTAAGGCAGGGGGGTAAGATGGGACGTATCCTAGGTTGCTGACCATTGTTCCAATCCTCCTTGAACACAAAGGATGCAGTCAAAGAAATCGAGGATTACGTACATTTTCAAAGGAAAGGATCAACCTGGCAATGTCAGACCAATTATCTTAATGGCTGTAGGTGCCTTGTTTAATGTTTACATTTCTCGCTGCCCAGAATTATTTATTGCCTGGATTTAAGCTTTTTTTAAATTTATCCTCATAGCCAGTAGGAATTTGACAACAGATTCTTTGTGATCCTGATCATATTTATTTTTTGATTAAATAATTCTCCTGCTTTTTCAGACTGATGTCAAGCCATTCACTGTCTAGGGATCTGCTGAATCTGGCTTGTATCTCCTCAAAGGGCAAACTGCTCAAGCTGATAAATATGAAAGGATTCAAAACAGAAATGATTTCCTCTACTAGTCATTTTTTTAATGACATCTTAAAATAAGTACTAGGTCAAGTGAAATCTGGCAGTTTTTCAGAATGATAGAAACCCACCCTGGCCTGCTGTACACTCTGTTTGGCCTGATATTTTCTTATGGAGAAAATTGGTGTCAATTGGTTTGATGCTCCTGTAATAAATTTGGCACTAACATATTAAAGCATAAACACTAGCTATTGTCCAACACAGTAAGACCCTCAACTGTACTTTGATTCTGTTCTGGCTCCTTTTCCACACATCAACCCTGTCTCTCTGTGACATACACAGGCAGCTAGCATTTCAGCTGATGACACCAATTTTTACCTCTTAGCCATAACATATACCTCAATTATTTTCAACCACTAAGCTAAGATCAAGTACTGCCTGAACAGAATTTCCTTCAATATCAATCACTATATCCCTTTGAAACCCAAAACACATACACTTCAAATCACCATTACATCAGCCAAATGATTTATTATAGGTGTATTATAGGTGAAAACTACATTCAGATAAACACAATTCTGAAGATCCAAAGTCCAGACCACAAGATAGTAAGTTATTTTCCTTGCAGCCCTTTTGATTTTTGCAATGGTGAAACACTATTGTCTATAAAAGGTGAGTAATCCTTTGATTCAATGATCAATTAAGTGAACTTAAGTCTTGTCCAAAGTATCTTCGCTCTCGGATTTTTTTTTTGTCCCTTTTACCTCTTTGACATGTCCATAGGCCCCGCTTCAACTTCTATAGATGCCCCATTGAAAGCATACTGTCCGGGTGCATAACAGCCTGGTCTGGTAACTGCTCCACCCAGGGCCGTAAGAAACTACAGAAGGTGGTGTGCACAGCGCAGACTATCACCGAAGCCAACATTCCACCCGTAGACTCCATTTACACAGCTCACTGCCACGGAAATGCAGCCAGCATCAAAGACCCATCCCACCCTGGGAATGATCTCCTAGAATCTCTTCCATCAGGCAGAAGATACAGAAGACTGTTCACATATATGAGCAGGTTCAAGAACAGCTTCTTCCTGGCCTCAAATAATACAGATCTTGCTAACATGGATCTCATCTAGCACATGCCCTGTGCAATGTAACCTGTATGCCTCTAACTCTTTTTGATCTGTACATCCTTTGCTTACTATGATCTGCCTGTACCACTCATAAACAAAGCTTTTCACTGTATTATGGTGCATGTGACAATAAATCAATCAAAATCAATTTACCTGACTTTCAAAACAAGAAAGTACAGACCAGGTCTCTTGTAAACAAGAATTACTATTTAAAAGTAAAAAGATATAAGCCATTGTCATACAATAACTAATACTCTAATCCCATTATAAACACCCCGTAAATACATACACACACTAATAGGGATAATAGATTATTCAAGTAGGAAAAATACCTGAAAGTCAGATCATTTGCCTTTGGCTTCCTGATTAACATTGAGATGATCCTTGGGAAAACTTAGCAGGTCTGGCAGCATCCGTGGGAAGAAAGTTGAATTGATGTTCCTGGTCCAGTGACTCTTCAGCAGTTCTGAAAGACTGACCAATTTCACGATGTTAATGCTGCTTTCTTCCCACAGATGCTGCCAGTCCTGTGGAGTTTCGCCAGCAATTTCTATTTTTAGTTTCTGATCTCCAGCAGCCAGAGTTCTTTGTTTTATTTATTTGAAATAACACTTCTTTAGCTAGAACTGCCCTTGGTGTTCAGATGTCTTTGCTTCTGGAAGTTTCCATAGCTGAGAACCAATTAGCTTCACTTGCTAACAACTCCTGCAATATGCAGACAGAGTTCACAATAAGTAACAAATTTCTTGCTGTTAAATGATGCAGCCACCTTAGTAAACCCTTGTCTTTTAATAAATTGTAACTTTTTCTCCTTGCAGTCCTCAGATTTTAAGGACACAGTCCTTTCAAACTAATACTTTGAAAATTAGTGAACACATTTCTAAGTACATATCACGCTTTCAATCAGAATTTCAGTCGATGGCTTATTTGTTGCAAGTACAATCTTCAAAAATAGTACAGATTCTAAGCTTTCATCTATTGACATCAGAATTTGTTTTTGTAATTGGAAACAATTGGAATTTCTTAGTCCAATGAAAAGAACTTCTAGAGCTGTACAGCATAGAAACAGACCCTTCAGTCCAACTTGTCCATGCCGACCAGATATCCTAAATTAATCTAGTCCCGTTTGCCAGCATTTGGCCCAAATCATTCTAAACCTTTCCTATTCATACACCCATCCAGCTGCCTTTTAAATGTTGTAATTGTACCAGCCTCCATCGCTTCCTCTGGCAGCTCATTCCATACACGCACCACTCTGTGTGAAAACATTGCTGTTCAGGTCCCTTTTTTTTGCTTTCCCTTCTCACCTTAAACCTATACCCTCTAGTTTTGGACTCCCCTACCCTGGGGAAAAGACCTTAGCTATTCAACCTATCCATACCCCTCATGATTTTATAAACCTCTGTAAGGTCACCCCTCAGCCTGACACTCCAGCGAAAATAGCCCCAGCCTATTCAGTTCAAACCCTCCAACAGCCTTGTAAATCTTTTCTGCATGCTTTCAAGTTTAACAACATCATTCCTTTAACAGGGAGACCAGGATTTCACGCAGTATTCCAAAAAGTAGCCTAACCAATGTCCGTACAGACGCAACATGACCTCCCAATTCCCATACTCAATGCACTGATCTATAAAGGCAAGCATACCAAATGCCTTCTTCACCACCCTGCAACTCCACTTTCAAGGAACTATGAACCTGCTCTCCAAAGTCTCTTTGTTCAGCAACACTCCCCAGGACCTTACCATTAAGTGTACAGGTCCTGCCTTGATTTGTCTCCAAAACGCAGCCCCTCACATTTATCTAAATTAATTTAAACTCCATCTGCCACTTCCCAGCCCATTGGCCCATCTGAGATAACCGCCTTAACCCTCCACTACACCTCCAATCTTGGTGTCATCTGCAAACACACTACTCATACCTATGTTCACATCCAAATCATTTACATAACTGACAAAAAGCAGTGGACTCAGCACTAACGCTTGAGAGTGCAAACAGTTAAACCAACTGGACACAGGAGGGTCTGGTAATAAGTTAATGAATGAGTAACCTAGAGAGAGGGTAGGGGAGTGTTCGAGATGATCTTACTGGGTTAAATTAACCCTAAACCTATCACAACAGCTGGGATTCCAGCAGCCCTAGCCCACAGGGTGTGCTGTTTCCTGGAGGGCTGATCACAGACCAAAGGGGTTAGCACTGCCTGCAGCTCCACAATCACATTCTCCTGCTGGAAAATCTGATGCTGATTTTTGGTTGATGGTAATGGAGGTTGAAGGAGACAAAGACAATCTTTTAAGCATCTCTCAAACTGGATGAGTATAACATCAATGAAAATGATCCATACTTCCAAAGGAAGACTAACATGGAGGTCCACGGTTACCAACTTTGGATAGGGTACATACAGATTTTTGGGATGAAATATTTTCCTGTGAATATAGCATGCTTACCTTTTGATTGATGCCAGGAGACCCAAGGCTGTACCAATATTAGCAGAGCCAGTGATAACCTTGCAAAACGTGCAAGGGTCCCTTTACCCTAATCATAACCCAAAGCATGGGGCTTCAATCTGAAATGCTACAAAATCATTTTGTTTTAAGGAAGGAATGAGAGAAAACTCAGATCTACACTAAACCAAGCTGTGAACCAGAAGCAGTTGATACAGAATAGCATCGGCTTCTGAAGAAATGTCCTGAACTGCTCTGGCCTAATCGAAGGCAGATGGACGAGAAAACCATGATAAAGGGAATAACACTAGAAACAGAAGAGTTGCCAGCAGCAGTGGTGTGGGTAATATAGCACATACCTTTGAGAGCTGTGTTTAAAGAACATTCTATTCACGAGAATTAAATATTCCAGAAAGCAAGGGAAATATTTCTGAAGCATGAGAATTTGATTGACTAAAAATCTCAATTTCAGTTGTAGGTGAGTTTTGGACCAATTATCTTTATTGTATGAATAAATGCAGGTGTAATCTGCAATGTAAACAACAGCATATTTGCATGTTTCACAGTTTGTTCTAACCATTAAAAGCTAAACTTTGATTTAAAAAACACAGGTTTACAGTACTTATTTTAACATCACATAGCTGGCCAACCAACTGAAGAAAACTAATCTGGGAGTAGGTTGCGACTACCTATTGAAGTGATCAATTTTTAAAAACATTACAGTAACTTAAGTCAAAACTCATTAATAAAACACAACTTTCCTCCCCTTTCTTCCTACTCAACCAGTGAGCAGGCAATGTTATTGTACTACTAACATTGTGCCACCATACAGAAAACATTGATGTGGATTTTGCAGTCAGCATGGAAGAGATGGTATTCACTAGCTTTAAAGAACACCTTTGTGATTTTGACCATGAACTTAAAACTTTCCCAAGATGAATTCAACTCTCCTAAGCAATATACAAATAGCTGACATTCAGCAATGACATCAAACCACATACATCGACAAATTTTCAGATGGGGAAGCAAAGTAAAAAGCATTGATTGTCCTTAACTCTTATTTTATAAAGAGCGGAGAGATTGGAACTCTGTTGTATATTGAAACATTAACTTTTAAAAATCCATAAAATAATTTTCAAAGAAATTTGAAATTAAAATAATTAGGATGAGAGATTCTTCAGCATTACTTATGAACTTATGCTGTTTCAAAACCCAGTTGCCATCTTGTTCACCAAGGTGACACCTTCACTAGGTTTTTTCCAGGGCGACTATAATCTGTAAAAAATGGAAGTTCACATCAATGCTAGTATTTCTTACATGTCCATCTGTAAGAACTTCATCAGTGCCCCTTGTGGAGAAGCAAGAAATCACTGACCGTTGTTTCTATTCTTCTGCTGCAGATACTGCAAGTTGCTGTCAGCTTCAGTTATAACGACGGTCAATACTGGCAATTTCACCATTACAACTGTAAAATTTTGGATCACATTACTCACTTGATAGTCATTTTTAATCAGTAAATGCCATGGGATTCTCATCTGACTGGCATTTTATATTCACTGGCATGTGTTAACCTGACATTGGGTTTTGTAGACTGTTAAACTAAATGCAGTCGTTCCCTAATACATTGCCAAAGATGGCAAATGGAGATGCCAAAATTCAAACTATCTACCTTGTCCTGCAAGGAAACAGCATTCATGCAGAAAGAAGGAACAAAACATGTTTTTAAAAAAAATCAACAGAAATAAAGTACTGGTGCCAAAATTGACCAAGGATATCCACGGTATTATTTTGAGAAACTTTATATGAAGGTGAATTTGATGGGATTATTTAGTACCTTGATGCACAGAAAAACAATGAACATGTCATTGCATGACTGCCATTTCCCAGTGATTACAATAGAGCAAATAAATATGTTGTTAACACATTGGTAACGTTCAAATGGTTATCTGGTGCAGGTAACCAATTTAACTGATCACCATGAGAGATTAGGGCAGTTTCTAGACAGATAGCTTTTCAGGCAGATCTATTTGCATTTCCACCCCTGAATCCCTAAAATTAAAATTGTGTTTTTTCTCAAATCATCCATCAGTTAAGATTCTGTAAAGATTCAGCAGATATTTCAATACATGATCTAGATTTCATTTTCTCATGCTCATTTCTCCTGCAGTCCACAAAATAATTTATAATCCATGTGGTGCATGGGGACAACCTTAGCTGTTTTACCAGCCTACACCATATTCCCTGGTGTTTTTGTTTATGAATTATCATAACTGTACTTGCGTCATGTAGCTATCCCACACAGCAGTTAAGAAAGGTCTAACTAAAACAGTCTAAGTAGAATAAAGCAGGGCCATTTTCAGTACAAAAGATCACACTGTTTACTATATTTACCTCTGGCAATATTTCTACAGGATTTTCAAATACAATTCTACAAACTGAACAGCTTGCTGTGTTCGTCCAGGGACAGAAGCATTTATTCTAATCTTTCTTAGGATTGACTGCTGCTGATAAGCAGCATGAACTATCAATCCCTAATTGCTCTAATGTTCCCTTGAGAATTTAAAATATGCCAAAATTCAACCTTGAAATACTTTGCCATTTTAGAAAAAAAATTAATTTCATTGCCCATTATAAATACTTGACCTTTTGCTGATGGCAGCCTTCATAGGGTTCACTGTTTGATCTGTGGGATTGTATCAATAGTTCTTCACAAAGTCTCTGGAAAATTACAACTGAAAATAAGTTTAGAGCTTAATGTTTGACTGCTTACTTTACCGCTTTGTAGGGCAAAGCATTTCAGCTGTGGGAAATGGTGCACACGTCTCACGTTGTTACTGTATAGAACTTTTGTCAAGTACAGTCAAATAGACAGATATCACCAACTGAAGGGCAAAAGCAAGGGTGTTAAACATAATGCTGTTTCTTCTGCGATCCTGCTTTGCTGGCCATATCCTTCGCTTTCTCTGTAGCTGCTAGGGCTGTTTCTTTAGCCTTCTCAGTTGCTTCTCTGGCTGTCTCCCTCAATGTCTTGATGGGTGCATCACCTTGAGAAATGGAAGACAGACAGATTCTTGTCACCTGTGGCATCTCTACAACCATGCAGACTTTTGGGAAACTGTTCAGCACCAAATTCACTACGTGTATTTTAAAACAACAACCTATTTTAAAAAGCCCGTTCAACAATACCCAGCAGGTTGTTTTCTAGATGTTGAAGGGTTTTACCCCCATGTTTCCTTCTAAAAACTTAGCAGGTTGGTGGTTAATAAAATGGTTTAACTAAAATCTTGGATATTTTAATTCCTCCTCCACATCGCTTTGGTTTTGATCTCGTCAGTGTTACTTGGGTACTGGATTCAAACGTTGATGAAAATGCAATTAAATGATTCAATCAGCCAGCTGGAGGGATTATTTGCTGAATGATTACAAAGCTGAGTTTTATGACCTAGAAATGTGTTCAGGGGCCTTATGTAGGTTGAGTTCAGAAAAAACGAAAAGGGCAGACTTTTGAATTTAGAGAAGTCTCCAGGCGGAGAGAATTGGCAGAAAATGCCAGGCTTTCAAAATTGAAGTATCCAGGCCAACAAAGCTAGAAAGAAATGTTAAGTTGATTCTGTGCTCCAAGGAGAGGGCATGGAAAGAGTCATCTGTCTAAGAAATTGAAAGTTAAAATAGGAGTGCAACTTCAATCAGTTTGAGTGACTATAAAGGATATTGCCTCAAAAAGGAATTTTTTTTTTTTTTTTTTTTTTTTACTGTTAGTAAGATCTTTGCAAACATTTTTTCTGCATAAAGAAGTGTCCTTTTGTTCAAAGAACCTTGCCAGCCTTGTGTGATTATGCTCAGTGACTGACCACAATAACCAAACAGCAAAAATAAAATTTATGATCTATAAAGCCAAGTTTCACTGAGTAAAAGCCAAAAGAACTGCAGATGCTGTAAATCAGGAAAAAAAACATAAGTCACCAGACCCAAAACATTAACTTTGATTTTTCTTCACAGATGCTGCCAGACCTGCTGAGCTTTTCCAGCAACTTATGTTTGTGTTCCAGGTTTCAAAGAGGTCTGCATTGTCCAGCAGGACAGCCTGCATGGATTATAGTGTTAGCATTTGATCATGAAGTTTAATAATATCAGAATGTAATCTCTGCCTCCATAGTGTTCCCTTTATAGTTAAAGACGTCGGTTTTACTCTCCTTTGTCTCCTGTTTTTATTTAACACAGCATTTTATCATTGACACTGCAGACTGCTGTATCATCATACCATGAACAATGCCTCATTTATCTTCACAGGAACACTCTGACAATATAGAAAATAGACAGTTCTCAATAAAGGACAGTGGGTTCTACACAAAAAAATCTTAAAAAGATTTTCTCAGTTCATTTTACCATAACCGTGAGTGTGGTATAAACTGAATAAAGAACATTTCAGTTCCAATTCATTTCAGAGGGGCAAGAGGCAAGGAGATAAAAGAAGAAACAAATTATTGGCATAAAAGACAAAATAACTGACAATATTTCCTAATTCAGCACCACTTGTTATTTCTCAGAGCAAATAAATAGATGATAATTTCCCATTCGGCTTATATACAGTTCAGTCAGATTTCATTTCCTTTGGTTATTTCCGATTGTGCCTAGCCTAGTTTCTAAAGTAGTAAAACTGCCAGATTAAAAACTATGATGGCAAAAGGCCACAAATATTGCGAAACCAGTATTATATTGGTTCAGCTCAGTTTTATAATGGTAAAATAAAGAAATACATCTTTATAGATTATAATACTGATATACATACCTTGCATTCTAGCTAGAACATACTCAAAACCTTTCATAGTTTTGGTTATGCTACTCTTAAAGCTGGCAAGCCCACATTCCTGAAGAAGATAAAGAAAAGGAACAATGAAACCCTTGCAGAGAACAATTCTATAATACATATTGAACTTGTTAGTGGATGCCTTGCACTCAAACTCCAGTTTAAGAAATTTCCACACTTAGCGTCAAGTAGTTCCAAAACATGTCGGGACAAATGAAATAGCCAAAACTACCATGGATTCATATGGGAACCAAGTGTGAAATAGACCAAATCAGCAAAATATTTTCTTTACATAGGAACCTTACAACCAGTGGATAGTGCAAAATAAATATTTGCATTCAAATTACTTACTTCACAACTAATGAATGTGAAGTGCAAAGAGAATTGATATGCATGTGAAAACTACATACATCATAACAATAACAACTCCTTTTAAAATAACCAAGAGCTGAGCAGAACCAATCGTTTTTGGAAACTATATGAAATCTCTACACCAACCTGAATGGCTAAAGAGAACCCGTACAAGTTTGAAGAAATCCAGGCCTCACGTTTGATTTGAGTCCAGTTTTTATTTTCAGGATGTATCCCATATACACACCACTCCCTTACTACCTAATATAAAAAAAAACAAAGTTACAAATTGATTTAGGTGGCAGGGCAACTTCTCAAAATTGCCATAAACTCTCATTTGGAAAAGTATCTTTCACCTCCTCCTGCTTTCACTTAAACCAGTATCAATAATTGCAATCAGATTCTACCAAATTTGACAGTATTAGTTGTAAAACAAATTAATCCAACAGCATCGCTGTCATCTTCCAAAATGCAGCTTGACCAGTCCAATGGCCATAAGACGCAAGAGTAGGCCACTCAGCCCCTCAAGTCTGCTCCACCATTCAATGAGATCATGGTCGATCTGATAATCTTCACTCCACTTTCCTGCCTCTTCCCCACATTCCTCGATTGACTTACTGATTAAGCATACGTCCGTCTCAGCCTTGAATACACTTAATGATCCAACCTCAAGCCTCCGCTGTGAAAAACTGCACAAATTCCGCAAAAGTTCCTCCTCATCTCAGTCTTATATGGGCAATCTGTTACTCTGAGATCATACCCTCTGGTCCAAGGCTCACCTAAAGAGGAAACAACCGCTCAGCAGTATATACCGTCAAGTCCCTAAGACTCGTGTACAGTTTAATAATTTCACCTCCTCTTCTTCGAAACCTGAATGACACTTGTCTCCCCCGATAATTCAAAATTCCATTTCAGTCTTGAATATATTCCATTGGATTCCATCCAGCCTCCACAGCTCTCTTTTCATAGAGAATTCAATCGATTCACAAAGGTAGTCCTCTTCATCACCAACTTAAATGGGCAGCTCTTTATTCTGAAACTATGTCCTCCAGACCTAGATCCCTCCCCACATGGAAAAATCCTGCCAGCATTTAGCAGGTCACAAACACCCAGAATATTATGTTTCAATAATATCACCTCTCATTCTTCCAAACTCTAATGAGTACAGATCCAGCCTCTCCTTTTAACTTGTTTTTGTTTTTCTATTTTGTACGTAGGTACTATTGTACCTAAGGTGGCACTGGGAAGGGCAACTTTATATACTTTTCAGTATACTTCTGTACTCCTGCACAGCCTCCAATGCCAGGATGTCTTTCCTTAGATAAAGGGGCCCAAAACTGTTCACAATATTCAAGCAGTGATCTGACAAGGGCCTTGTACAGCTTTAGTAAGACGTCCTCAGTTTTACACTCCATTCCCTTTCAATTAAAGGCCAGCATTTGGCTTCCACAAAAACATTTAATTTAATAAACAGAGGTAGAAACTATTAATGTTTTAAAGTAACAGATTTTTCAGTACAAGCTCAGAACTGTTTCTGAAACTTGACAGTACTCATTAAGAAATCAACATTTCATTGACAGCAATCTTTGCGAAGAGACATATCTCATGCTGGCTAATTCTAGAAGTACTTAAGAGTTGGACGGGAGTATCACAGTCCAGGTAAAAGATATTCAGTCACAGAAGTGGAGTACTGCAAAACAGTTCTGGATGTGCTATTGTAGGTATTAAAGCTACGGAAAGGGTGCAGTGAAGATTTCCTCGAGTAATGATACCAGTTATGAGAGAATATTTCTGGAATGCCTCATTGCAAGTGGCTATTAAATCAGAGAGAGAATATATCTGAAAAGGAACCTGAAGTGTTTAAAATTAATTTGAAGAGATTAATGAAAATTCAATTAAAGTATATAGCTCCAGTTGAAGAGCTAGCAATACCAGTTATCAAGTTGTACCTTAACCTTGACAGTCCGCTCTACAGCCTACTGCCATGATATATTACTGTCGCAACAGTAGGTCAGCATCCACAGCTCCACACTCCACCAGCACCAGCCTCTCTAACAGAGGCATTGTAAAGTTTAGCCATTCTCCTAATAGGGGGTGTTGGGGTGCAAGGCCAACAGAGTCAGGAGACGCAGCCTGGTACGTTCTGGAGCCTAAGTGCTGGCATGGATTTGGGTGAAAAGGACTGTATTCAAGTAATTTCTTTCTCATTTTTTACTCTCGTGCTGGACATTTATGTATTATTCTTCCAATCTGAAAATTTTATACCTAGGCATCTTGTACCTAAGATGGCGCCGTAAGCGGTGACATTGTGAATTTTTCGCTGCACTCATTTGAGTGCACGTGACAGTAAAACTAATTCTAATGACAGACCACATTGCAAGGTGTGTGTTAAAAATCCACTAAGTCTGCTGTGGAACAGTTGATGAGGCACTAAAATCAAGTATAGAGGAATACTTTTTGTTTAAGAAAAGTCAAATGCCATGACATACCATAAACCGTGCATGGTTGATGTTCCACGTAAGTGTAGTTAATGTTTTGTGTTTTAAATCCACTACTGAATCTTCTAGAACGAAGGCTGAGTGGGCAACATTTGTAGGAAACAATCGTTCTGCCCACCGAGGCACTATGCCTGTCTTGGTCAGCAGTCGTCGGGTAAGCACCTTGTCAGGAGTTACCTCACGGTGGATGATGTCCTCTGTCAGGACGTGCTTGCTGAGGGAGAAGAAACATTAAAATGGTGTCATATAAAGGAAACTGCAGTATTCTTTCAAAAAGTGCTACAAAATACTTTTACTTTCCATTATTCCAAACAATCACTCACATTCTACAAGTAACAATTTCACCAGACAAGAAGCCAGTTGCAATTGGATAAAAATAACTGCATTCAGTCAGAGAGCTGCATAACATAGAAACTGACCTGTGGTCCAACTTGTCGACGCCAAGCAGATATCCTAAATTAATCTAGCCCCATTTGCCAGCATTTGGCCCATAAACCTCTAAACCCTTCCTATTCATGTACCCATCCACATGCCTTTTAAATGTTATAATTGTACCCATCTCCACCACTTCCTCTGGCAGCTCGTTCCATTCACACGCCACCCTGTGTGAAAACGTTGCCCCTTAGGTCCCTTTTAAATCTTTCCCCTCTCACCTTAAACCTATTGCCTCTGGTTTTGGATTCTGCTACCTTGGGGAAAATACCTTGGCTACTCACCATATCTATACCCCTCACAATTTTATAAACTTCACTGAAGATCACCCCTCAGCCGCCGATGCTCTAGAGGAAATAGCCTCAGCCTATTCAACCTCTCCTTCTCGCTCAAACCCTCCACCCTGGTAACATCCTTGTAAATCTTTTCTACTCTTTCAAGTTTTACAACTTCCTTCCTACAGCAAGGAGACCAGAATTGAACGCAATATTCCAAAAGTGACCTAACCAATGTCCCGTACAGCCACAACATGACCTCCCAACTCCTATACTCAATGCACTGACCAATAAAAGCAAACATCCTGTCTTACCTGTGACTCCACTTTCGAGGAACTATGAACCCGCACTCCAAGGCCTCTTTGTTCAACACCACAAATACCCAAGAGGAAAAAAACCTTCTCCTCAGCACCATCCCACACCGCAGGACCTTACCATTTAGTGTACAAGTTCTGCCCTGATTTGACTTTCTAAAATGCAGCATCTCACATTTATCTAAATTAAACTCCATCTGCCACTCAATTCATTGCCCATTTCACGAATTGTGGAACAACGATAGTACAGAATAACTATTACGTTTTCCCACATGAAAATCACCACAATTCAAAGATGATCAATTCTCGAATGCTTGAGACAGTACAACCCAAGCTGCTACTTACTGCAAGTGCTACACATGGAGTCCACTACATAATTACACATTTTCCCACTTCATACACAGGAAGGTGGAGAATAATGCTCCCCGTCCTGTCCAAAAAACATGTCTACCCACAAGCTTAGAAAGACACTCTACTGCATTGACAGTGTGTACATAGATTGATGTGATATGTCTGGCATGAGGGTGAAGAAAGTTAACATTTCTTACTGCGTGTGCACTTCTCTTTTTCAGCTTACACCGCTGATTAGTCATAACACAAAAAGAGGACTCATGTACACAAGCCTCAACTGTCGATATAGAGCTTCTCTACTGAAGTCCTGTTATAAACGTTTGAGGAACGCTTGAGGACTCTGGGACAATACTCATTGGAGTTTAGAAGGATGACGGGGGGATCTAATTGAAACTTTCAGAATACTGAATGGCCTGGACAAAATGGATGTTTGGGAAGATGCTTCCATGGGTAGGAGAGTCTAGGACCCGAGGGCACAGCCTAAGAGTAAAGGGAAGACCTTTCAGAACGGAGATAAGGAGAAACTTCTTCAGCCAGAGAGTGGTGAATCTATGGAATTCACTGCCACAGAAGGCTGTGGAGGCCAGGTCATTGAGTACATTTAAGATTGAGGTAGATAGGTTCTTGATTATCAAGGGGATCAAGGGTTACAGGGAAAAAGCAGGAGAATGGGGTTGAGGAACTTATCAGCCATGATTGAATGGTGGAGCAAATTCGATGGTCCGAATGGCCTAATTTCTGCTCCTATGTCTTATGGTCTTGTAAACGTATATAGTGACACAAGAAAGTGGATTCCTCGTGGGCTCAAGATTAAACTTCAGAGGAACAGAGGAGATTTGGCAACCCTGCACCCCCCTCTAACCCAAACACCACCACTTCCTTGTGGATACCTAAGGAAAGATGAAGGCTGAGGGAAGAAACTCTGATAAAGCCAGACCAAAGCCTAAATGTCTTTCTGGCAATTCCTGAAACAAAGCTGTGGAACACATGCTTTGTATTTCTTTGGTCACAACCAGGGAGGATGAGTTGGATACCACAACATTTGGCCAGACCAGGCTCCCCACAAAGTTCCACCAGGCGTGCACCCTAGGGAAGATACTCCATTTTTACTGAACACAGTTAAACACGTAGGCACAATCCTGCACCAATGTGATTTCTTTCCCCCCTTCCATTTCTCACACCACCTCATTACATGGGCCAATTTGTGCCAAAACAGTTTCGTGCTGTTGTTGCAAGTGCAACAAAAGAAATTTGTTAAATATTTCACTTCAGTCAAAATCATTTCAACCAGCAATCATTTAATCCAATTGGCTATACCAGATTGAAATTTGTTTCAAAGATGAAAAAGAAGCAACTAACTTCCTAAGTCAGCTCGTGTTCTCATGATGCGAATGAATTCCTAAAACACAAACTTGCACTCACCTGTATGGATTTGGATAACGCTGCCAAAATGCAGCAAATACTTGGTCCCATGAACTCTTCAGGTCATTTAGACCTAGAAAATACTTCACCATTGTTCCCAGAAGACAGGAATGAACCAACAAAAGTGGAATTTGTGCCTTGGTCACATTGGCAGAGATGATTATTCCTTTATGATAATTATCTAGGGTGTTTTAAAACAGTGGCCAACCACAAGGTTACTGTCACAGTGCGATATAAATTAGGCCAATTCTCCCAATTCTAATCTACATCTCACTATCTTTTACCTGCCTGTTAGGTCATGCCATATTTTCCCTGCCTGACATTGCAAATCTCCCAGCACTTTTCCCTCTGCACAATCTCCCAGAGACACTGCATCTTCTCTACAGCTAGCGCAGACTTCCAAGCCATCCCTGAACAGAGAAAGCAAATAAAGAATAGAAGATTTACCATTCAGCCAGTCTCCCAAATCTCAATGCTCTCTTACCATCATCTCTTGCCCAATTCCCTCCTCCTCCTCCATATACCGGCCCCACTTCTCTCTGAAAACCTTCCCCCATCCCAATTCCCAGCCTGTCCATTAACCCCATTTCCCCAGCTTCATTCTCCATTCCCCTCCACCGTTTCCCCCTTCCCCTTAGCCTAGCATCCTCCCATTAACCGCACCCCTTCATTCCCCTACCCTCCCCATTTCTCTGACCCCACTCCCTTTCATCTGTTCGCCCACTTCACTTCACTTACCCCACCCCCTTCCCTATCTCACCCACCCTTTCTCTCCCATTCCACTCCTCCTTACCTCTCCCCATGCCCCCTACAGCCTACCACTCTCCTCCCCTGTTTCTTCTCCCTTACACCCCTTCCTCACATGCCCCTTTACCTTAACCCTCGTGCCCTTCCTGTCCCTGTCCCTGTCCCTGTCCCTGTCCCCGTCCCCGTCCCCGTCCCCGTCCCCGTCCCCGTCCCCGTCCCATTTCCCCTTCTTTGTGGGCCCACCACTCCTTCCACATCTCCCCCTTCACCTACCCACCTCCCAATCCCCTTTCCTTGTTCCTGTTTGCTCAGTCCCTCCTCCTCCGTTTCCATCCCCATTCTCCCGGCCCCTCTCACCTCCCTCATGTTCCGCTGCCACCTTCTGCAGGTCTGAGCCACCATTCCGGAACCGGCCCCAAGCACTTCCAGGGACAAAGGGCGAACGATCGCGCAGGCGCGGTATGACTCCAGCGCCCGTCTTCGTTTCAGAGGCACGTGATTGAACTGACCCCGTGACCCACTGACCCAGTGCACAGGGACTCAGGGCACAGAGACCCAGCGTATTGCGACTCAGATCCCAGCAGCTCAGAACGTCTTATTGAAGGGGTGCTCCCAGCTACTGGAGAAGTCAGATCCCAAACTGAAACCTGGATGGATTTCTTTTTGCTGTCATTAGTTAACGTGATGGCAAGTCACTTGGCAAAACACATTCACATGAGGCTAAAATCTTTTATTCAACAAAAGAACAAGTTTATTGCACAAAAAACATAAAAGCTATCCATTTGCAAGAGTTACCGTGATCTTAAGTGACACAGCAACTCAAAATTTATTGTTATATACAAACTTTACACTATGAACTTTCTACAAACCTGAAAGTATCCATTACAGAGGCTCAATTTAAGACGAATTACCTACCTATCTCAACTCCTGAGGTTTTTGCAGTTTCTTTTCCGGGAATTGTGAAGACAATTTGATGAGTTCTTTCCAAGTCTGTCAATGTGAACTTTTCCACAGATCTGAGAACCTAAATTTTCTCAGTTCTAGCTGCTGATTTTTGACCAAACTCGTGGTTTGGAAGACTCACAAATTTAACCCATCTGCTAAGCTGACTTAAAAAAAACCCCAAAAGAACTGTGGATGTTGTAAATCAGGAACAAAACAGAAGTTGCTGGAAAAGCTTGGCAGGTCTGGCAGCATCTGTGGAGAAAAATAAGAATTAAAGTTTCGGGTCCAGTGACCCTTTCTTGAGAAGGGTTTTTGTTTCTGGTTTTGTTGTTGAGCTGACTAATTTCCTGAACTGCCCTCAGAAGGAAACTAAATTTGCTTCTGAACTGAACCTTGATATTTCTGATCTCAATTATTTTTTACAAAACCTGCTCAGTCCTAAATGGGAGACACTGAAAGTGATTTTCCAACATTTAGTATTAGAAGGGAAACCTGAAATTGAGATGTTGCAGCTGGAATTAGCTAAAATACAGGTAGAAATGAAAACAAAAAGTTGAAAGAGAAAGAGAATTGAAAGAACAGCTTGAATTGGAAGAAGAGATTTTAACTTGGCTGGTTCTGGCTGGTCTTGTGATCTTTATAAATGATTTCGATGAGGAAGTGGAAGGGTGGGTTAGTAGGTTTGCTGATGACATGAACGTTGGTGGAGTTGTGGACAGCGTGGAGGGCTGTTGAAGGTTGCAACTGGGCATTGACAGATTGCAGAGCTGGGCAAAGAAGTGGCAGATGGAATTCAACCCAGAAAAGTGTGAAGTGATTAATTTTGGAAGGTCGAATTTGAATGCAGAATACAGGGTTAATGGCAGGATTCTTGGCAGTGTGGAGAACAGAGGGATCTTGGGGTCCACGTCCATAGATCCCTCAAAGTTGCTACCCAAGATGATAGGGTTGTAAAGAAGGCATATGGTGTCTTGGCTTTCATTGGCAGGGGAATTGAGTTTAAGAATCGCGATATTATGCTGCAGCTCTCTAAAACTCTGGTTAGACCACGCTTGGAATATTGTGATCAGTTCTGGTCACCTCATTATAGGAAAGATGTGGAAGCTTTAGAGAGGGTGCAGAGGAGATTTACCAGGATGCTGCCTGGACTGGAGAGCAGGTCTTATGAGGAAAGGCTGAGGGAGCTAGGGCTTTTTTCATTGGAGCAAAGAAGGATGAGAGGTGACTTGATAGAGGTGTACAAGATGATGAGAGGCATAGATAGAGTGGAGAATCGGAGACTTTTTCCCAGGGCGGAAATGACTATTACGAGGGGGCATAATTTTAAGGTGATTGGAGGAAGGTATTGGGGAGATGTCGGAGGTAGGTTCTTCACACAGAGAGTGGTGGGTGTGTGGAATGTGCCACCGGCAATGGTAGTGGAGTCAGATACTTTAGAGAATTTGGAGCGACTCTTGGATAGGCACATGGAGGATAGTAAAATGTAGGGTATGCAGGGTAGTTTGATCTTAGTAGGATCAGTACAACATCGTGGGCCAAAGGGCCTGTACTGTTCTATGTTCTATGTTCTTTACTGGCCTTACCTCCCAGGAATGCTACGTTTGTGACATGTCATTCCTGGAATTACTTATCAGTCATATCCAAAAATGCTATTTTCTGAAAGCAATCTATTTAGTCTACATTTAATTAGCAATACAACCAATTCTACCAGATGACGTGGGCAACTTGTCAATGACTTAGAAGATACTGAGATGCTGCAGGAGGAGCATCCTAGATTACGGCCTTGGTGATGTGAGCTGATCTCAGATTCATCAAATTAGACCAGAAGATGAGGAATCTATTAACAAGAGAGTTGAGTTGGAAATTTAACAATTACATGCTATTTTTAAAATTGACATAAAAAGGATAAAGTTAAGGACAATGAAGCTAGCTTGTTAGTACATTTTTAACAGAAATGCAACAAACGGATTCTGAATGAGTTATCCTCAGAAACCTACTCAGAAATTGTAACTGAAGCAATACACAACTATTATTATTAATAATATATAATAATATTAAATAAAAAGCATAATGAGGCAGGAAGTGCTGAAGGGACAGATCTCCTTGAAGGTGAATAAATCACCAGGCAGGATGAATTATATGAAGACTGTTGCCAGGGAGGAAATTAGCAGTGATCTGAGGATCACTGTCTAATCCTTATTAATTACAGGCAAAGTACCAGATGATTGGATGTCTGCAAATATAAGTTATCATTGACAATCATTCACTAACAAGTATGATTGTCCACTTAGAAAGTTCCATGTCACTGGCATGAGTTCTGTAGATGCTACTGTGGCTGATGAGCCTAATCCTACAGCCTCATCGCTGACCACACATTCGGCAGGTGTTTCCAGGAGGTGGAATTGGTCCTTGGCTTTGAAGTCGCTGGCATTCCTTTCTCCGACACCTTTTCCTTATTTCCTGACGGGTGTCCTCAAATTGTGCCCCTTCATGCAGGAGCTTCCTCCAACTGGGTTCCTTCTGAGTGAGGGTCTCCCAGGTGTTGACATCTATGGTACATTTCTTGAGGGAAGTCTTCAGGGGATCTTTGAAATGCTTCCTTTGTCCTCCCCTCTTCCTTGAGCTGGGTGAAGACGATTTTCTTCAGCAGTCGGAACTCAGGCATACTGGTTGGTTCAGTGGTGTTGGTTTCAGGTGAGGACGGCCTTGATGCTGGTGCTATTTGCTGCCTCAAGGTTGCTGATGTTATTACACCTGTTCCCCCATCTCAAATAGTGTCAATGGCACTTCTCAAAGGCCTTGAGGTGGCATCAATATGTAGTCCAAGTTTCAGAGCCAAATAGGAGATTCAGAAGGATGACTACCTTGATCTTGGTATCCGCTCAGATGTCACAGTCATCGAAAATTCTCATCCTTAGGTGTCCAAAGGCGGTGCTCACAGTTTGGTGCAATGTTGAATCTCTATATCAATGTCCACCTCATATGAAAGGTAGCTTCCCAGGTAAGGGAAATGCTCTATGTTTTGGAGGATTTCTCCATTGGTCTTCTTATAGGGATGACCCAGAACTTGACCTGTGAGGGGTCAGTAAGGGAGACCAGTGCTTCTGTAAACTGCTGCAAAGGCGTTCAGTGAGACTTGAAGATTCTCTTCCGAGAGAGCAGAGGTGACATTGTCATCCATATACTGAAGTTCCACAAATGAGGCTGGTGTCATTTTCTTCTTAGATTTCAACCTGTTGGGGTTGAAAAGTTTTCTCTCCACCCTGTAGGCAATGTCCATACCACTGGGGAGCTTGTTCTTGACAAGATGAAGAATGGTGGTGATGAAGATTGAAAAAAAAGATTTGCGGGGGTGGGGGGGCGATGACATATCCCTGCTTGACACCTGTCTTTACCTCAAAGGATTCTGTCATATTACCATCGGTAAGGACCATCGCCAGCATCTTCTTGTGGAGGAGACAGAGGGTTTTGATGAATTCCAATGGACTGCCGACATTATATAGGGTCACTGCTGTTTGTGGTACATATGAATTATTTACACTTAAATATGCACAGGATTATTAGGAAATTTGCAGATGACACAAAAATTGGCTATGTAGTTGATAGTGAGGAGCATGTCTGTTCACTGCAGGAAGATATCAACAGTTTGCTTGAGTGCATGGAAAAGTGGCAAGTGGAGTTCAAACTGAAGAAATGTAAAGTGATGCATTGGGAGGCCAATCAAAGCAAGCCAATACACAATAAATGGACGGTATCGAGAGAGGCAGAGGAAGTGAGAGACTTTGGAGTGCTTGTCTACGTATCTCCTCAAGATAGCAGGACAGGTAGGCAAGGTATAAAGTAGACACAAAAACAGAAATTGCTTTGGAAACTCAATAGGTCCAGTAGCATTTGTGGGAAGAAAGCAGAGTTAAAACGTATTGAGTCTGATGACTCTTTATCAGTTGAGTTGTGTGTTCATGTGTTCTGATGAAGAGTCACCAGACCCAAAATATTGAGTCAACTTTCTTCCTACAGATGCTGCCAGACCTATTAAGTTTCTCAAACAATTTCTGTTTTTGTTTCAGAGCTCCAGCATCCACAGTTGTTTGTTTTATTTTATTAAAGAGGGCATATGAGATAGTTTCCTTCACTGGATGAGCTATTGAATATAAGAGTGGAGTAATAATGCTGGAACGTTATAACTAAATACTGGTTAGGCCATCACAGGAGATTTGTGCATACTTTTGGTCAAACATTACAGGAAGGACATAATTGCTTTAGAGACAACAACAGGGGAGACTTGTAAGAATATTGCCAGGGCTTGAAAATTGCGGCCATAAGTAACAATTGGACAGATGAGGTTTGTTTCCAAGAGGATGAAGATTATTTACTGAATAGAGGAATAAAAGTAATAAGGAGCAGGGAAGGGATTGTTCTAGCAGGTTTCAATTGCCATGTCAATTCTCGACTTCATTCCTCATCTGACTTGTCCCTTTAGGATGCTGACAGATTTGTTCCGTGCTTGCAGCTTAAATGTGATTTTTTGGTTCAGATTTACCAATCCGAAGCCGTGGATTTAATTACAGGTTCTGCACATCAACAGAGCTGCGATCAGAATCACTCTTCAGACGCCCCGCCCGGTCAGCCCGCCTGGCCCCGCCCCATAACTAGACGCACCCACCTTTGGCCACGCCCCACGCCCCCCCCATGTCAACGGCTCATGACGAGTTTCCTGGGCGGGCAGATGATTGCGTATATCCGCCTTTGGCTCCGCCTCGTGCGTTTGTGAGTAAACGGTAACGGCGGTGGAGTTGTCTCAGGCCGGTCCCTCCGTCGTGTTTATACTACCCCCTGATCTTCTCCTGCTCCGGCCTAAGCCTCCGTGTTATCCTCGGCCTGTTCCACCATCCATACTCTGTGCTGCAGTTTGAGGTGAATGTTTCTGCAGGAGCTTTGCTGGAAAAAGGGGGCCTTCACCTGGTGAAGTGCGGCCCGGAGGGCAGGAGATCCCCAAAACACCCTGGGGGGGCAGAGTAGGCCGTAGAGACCTGCCCCCCACCCCCCACCTCAAAGCCGGCCTGGGCGGTGGGGGGGGGGGGGGGAGGAGGGCTTAAAGACCTTGCCCCCCCCCCCCCCCAAAAAAAAACTAGCCTGGGTGAGGGAGAGTAGGGTGTAGAGACCCCCACCTTTAAAACCAATCTTTGGGGGGGTGGTGAGGTGTAGAGATTTCCCCCAAAACCAGCATGGAGTGAGGTATAGTGTTTTCCTTCCTCCTGCCCACACCCACGTCCAGAAGTGGATGTGACCATATTCCCCTCCTCTTTCCCGCCCCAACTCCCAAATCAAACCAGGACAGGGTATAGTCCTTTACTTCCCCCAGGCAGCCCAGGGGAGGATATAGATATCATTTGTTAACCAATCCAGAGGGAGAGTGTAAAGGCACCCTCGGCCACCAATCCATAATCAACATCAAACTGTAACGGGCTGATGTGAAGCTGACCCTGGGAAACTGCACCAATTTTAGTGAAGATGAGCCTGAACAGTTCTCAGTAGGAACCAAGTTGTGTTGTCTTTTCCTATGTTGGAGGGTTTAGAGCTTGTGTGTTGGGAGTTTATCTTGCCCCATGTATCGTCAATCCACGTGAGCCATGGCTGGGAATAGTGGCAAGTTGACAACATCAGGGCCCAGATGTAAAAGTTCACTTTTCCTCTCTATTGGGAGTTATTGGATAGTGAACAGGGGTGCAAACTTTGATATCTTTACCACCTTCCAATCCATGAAACACTAAAATCACTAAAACTAGAACAGAATTAGTCTGCTTAGTGGGAATTGAACCTGGTCATTTGATAAATTAAGTGAATGGGCAGAAGAGTAGCCAAGTATTTTGATTCAGGCTGGTGGGGTTTCATCTACTTTGAACCTAAAAAGGATAAAATGGTATCTTCTGAATGCTGAAAGGCTAGAAGCAGTAGAAATCAAAGCAGGATTTGTGAACATTAAAAAATGTTGTGTGCAAGTACAGAAAACAATCAAAAAGATTAATGGAATGCTGGTATTTCTATTTAGAGGCCCAGAACAAGAGGAGACAGAAGTTATGGTTCGGCTGTGCTAAAGCCTAGTTTGATTACACCCTGAGTACTGACAGCATTTGTGGACACACCCTTAAGAATGCTTGGACTCCAAAGGTTAAATTGCAGTGAGGGGTTAAACAAACTAGAGCTTGCCTTGAATTTACAAGGTTAAGAGATGAGATGATTGAAATTTCAGGGTATTATGGAAAATAGGTTGGTAAAGACAAACTATTTTTACTGCTGAACAAGTCTAGGAATAGGGGCAGTATCCAGAATTAGAGGCAGACTTTTTGAAATGAAATTAGGAAACTATTCTGCATGATAGAAATTTAGACTTCTGTAAACTGCAACTGAAATTAGGTTAAATAGTTTTGAACCTGAGATTGACAAAATTGTCAATCAAAGGTCTTCAGTGATCTCTATTCAACAACTTCAATTGCTGTTAGTTGATTTGGATCCTGGATCAAGTGCAATCTGAACAGATTTGAGAGGCTAAATGACATTTTCCACTAATTGGTTATGTAGTTTCTATTCAGTGTGGTGGTCACGATATGAAAGTGAAAGGGAAACTGAACTACTACAAGTTTGTTTCATACGCTACAGCAGTGACTGATATTTGTATTTTAATATTTCTGCCTGTATTAATGGTGCAAATGCAATGAAAATTTTTCTGTCTTTTTGAATGCAAGTGTTTTTGATCTGTGATTAAGAACTGAACTGTTGAAAGCAGATTTGAAGTTGGGTGTGGAATGGAAATAGTGGTTGAGTTAGCAACAGTCACATTAATATCTCCTGCCCTGAATAACCGGACTTATAAATTGTAGAAGTGTCAATTACTGTTGACAGACTTGCTCCTTGACGAGAGACTTGCATCACAACAAAAAAACATTGCAAATGTAAGCAGACCTCATCCAATTCTGCAACTACATACCCCTCAATTCATCACATGAATGGCAATGGTTCAAGAAAGCATTTCACCACCACCACTTTCTCGAGGACGTTGTAGGGATTAGCATTGACTGCTGTTGCTAATAATGACCACACACTCTAATTAAATCAGACAAATTAGGAGCCACATTCACCCGCTGAAAATGAGGCTCAGAAATTGCAATGGGAAGGAAGAGGGATTTGAGAGGAGCCTGAAATCAGTTATAAAGAAACAAAGGGATGAGATTTCGAGGGAAAGTTATTTATTTGTTTTCTTAAAACTGAGGTGTAAGAGTACAAGCAACATTCATTTTTAATTTCTGATTTTGATCCATATCTAAAGACAGTCTTAAGTTTCGCTTGTGTTCCTCCTGTTGTTAGAACCAGCAGCCGTATCTGCACTATCCTTGTGCTGCTACTATTCTATATAGCATAATGTTTGTTGCTAAAACAAAGGTTACAGTACTCTTGGTCTCCTAATGAAATGCCACTGTGGAATTGGGGAGAAGGTTGCAAGTGACAGAATGGTGATAGAGTTCCAAGTCAAGATGGAGAGGAATTTGTAGGAGCCAGTATTCCCATGTGTCAGCTCCCATTGTCTTTCTACATAATAGTGGTCATTGGTTTTGGATGGTGATGTTGATGTGTTCGAGCTGCACTCAGCAGGGCAAGTGGATTGTATTCCATCAGCTCACTCCTGACTTGCGCGTTGTAAATGAGCTTGCTGCATTTGGTAAGGACTGCTTCAGTATCTGAAGTTGGGAATTGTGCTGAACATATTGCAATATTCAACCACCCCACCTCTGACGTATGATGGAGGGAAGGTCATTGAAACAGCTGGAGATGGTTTAACACAAGACACTACCCTGAGGCACTCTTGAAGTGATGTCCTGGAGCTGAGATGATTGACCTCCCACGACTGCAACTGTATTCCTTTGTACTAGGTGTGATTCTAACCAATGAAGAGCTTTCCAACTAATTCTCATTGATTCCAGATGTGTTAGGGCTCCTTGATGCCATACTTTGCCCTTGACATCAAAGCAGCATTTGACAATCATTGTCACTTGCTGCCTTGAATTGAGCTGTTGCCTATGTTTGGATCAAGGCTTCAAATAAGTCAGAAGCTGATTGAACCTGGTGGTACCCAAATTGTGTCTCTGAGCAAGTTAGAGTTGAGCATGTGCTGCTTTGTTAGTACTGATGGCTCACTGAATAGTTGGGTTGGATTTTTCCTGCTTTATGTAGACAGGAAATAGGATGCTAATATTGTAATTCAACTGGAATAACTTAATGAGTCAATTACTCAAGGTTCTACTTTATGCTTTACTTTTCTTCAAGATGGCAGCAGAGTAGAGAGGCTGAGTCTGGGATTCGCCTACTCTCGTCGTCTCTTTCTCTTTTTCCTTTTTACTTTTTGTTTTTTTCTTTTTGCTTTGTTTTCTTTTAAGCCTGGAAAGGTTGATGTTGGAGGCCTCTGGCAATGGTGGCATCAACGTTAGGATGAGCCAGACATGACTACATTCTAGCTTGGGGTGTCTCGGTAAGCAAGAAACAGGTCTTGGGCTGTCTCCGCAGGCCTGGACTCACAGGCTAGGCCAAGGCTTCAAGTGCGCAACTAGGCCCAGGTGCCTGAAGGAGGAGAAAGGCGGTCTCGGCCCAGCATGGTGGTCTTGGTGGAGGCTTCTAGCCTAGTATCCAGCTGTGGTCTTATCCTGGCTGCGTCTTCAGCGTATTGTATTGTTTTTAAATTGGCTTTCCTCGAGCCCAGGAACTGTTAACCAAACTGTGATGAACCTGGTCTTAATTTTAGTTCATGTATGACTTCTGTCATTGGGGTGAGTTATAAAACTTTTCACTGTATATTTCAAGTAAAAGTACATGTCTGTTCTATTCTATGCTTACTGATTGATTGAAACTGCTATATTCTGCCACAATGAAAAGGTTTGTATTTAGGGCATGGGACATTAATGGAATTACTACTTAGAGTTAGTATGAAGTGCTATATATGACATGGTGCAATTCAAGTGAGACACTAGATCCTTCCACAAGTTGGGGCTGGTAGTCACACAGCTTCAAAATCATCTCCATTCTGAAATATGAAAACTTTTGTAATTGTCCATTTTCTTACCTTGTGGGATACAATATTGTACAATGGTTGTAATTTTAACTGGGTATGCAGGGTTAAATGTAAAGTTCATTAAAGGTGACACAGGTTATATAATCAGATCAGCAACTAGATCTCAACATTTTTTTAGAACAAATCCTGTGAATAGAAATTTTGGTAGGTATGTTAGATCTTTTGTTTACCAGTTTGCTTACACTAACAGATCAGAAAGGTTAATCTTTTTAAAATCAAAGATTCTTTATAATGTCAGAATGGTTTTGAAATTTATCTTGGGTAGAAGTAGTCCAGTGTTTGTGTACGGTTGAGTTTCAGGCTCTCTAGCCATGCTTTCAGTTGTAGTCAGATTTCAGCAATGTAGGCGCTAGCTTGTCACCATGGTTCTGTGATTAGGGTTGGTTTGCTACTCATCGTCAGGCTTTGTAGCTGAAAAGAATTTGTGATCCTGGTTTCTATAGCTATGGCTTTTCCATGTCCAGAAGTGCTTTCGTGCACAACTGGGACAGTTTTTTTTCCCCCACCACCAAATCACCTGTTTCAATTAATAACCAACTTGCATGAAAAGCCCTCTAAGGGGCACTGCAGTTCTGTGGCTAGACTTTTTTTGATTTTCTAATCAACTTGTTCAGAGATGTTACTACGTACCTCTAGAGCAGGTAGGATTTGAACCGAGGCCTCCTGCCTGAGGTAGGGGCTCTACACTGTGCCACAAGAACTTTCTTCTGTAGCTATGACTAGATTTGGGTTCTAATCAGTACTGTAATTGCACCTTAGTGCACAACCAACTTCATTGAATCAGATTGTATGTTCTTAAAACACAACCAGACATAGGGTATTTTTGAATGTATTCTTTCTCATGTTTTGAATGTATTGAACTTTTAAAGAGTGCTTTGACTGCAGTGGAGGTGGTGATGAAACTGAAGGCAAACTGGGCAAGAACATAGCACTCCCTTTTCCCTCTTCTCATCTCCTCCCCTCCCCTCCCCCCGCCCCCCCCAACCCTTGTTATTCCACCCTTAGGCTGTTTCTCTTTATCCCCCCAACCCAAGCCCTGTTTGTAACATCAGCTTTTTATAAGATGCAATTTATCCGCAGAATGCAGAACTGGTTTTGGAGGGTTAAGTTTTATTGTGATTTTGTTTGAGGAACTGAAACTATTTCCTGTGTGCTTTCATTACTTCCCATCTTTACGATTGGTCTCATTAATCTGCAGCTGCAATGTAGGATAAGAGAATCCAGGAGAATTACTTGTAAGGGAAAAGCTGGAGCACCAATTTATACAACGCTGTTGAATTCTTCAACAGTCTTGAGAGTTATCTCAAAGGACACTGCACATATGTACTAAAACATCCTCCTTCTTTCTCATCTCCAGGTGAAGCCATTTGAACTGACAACCACATTGCTGTTGTGTTTGGTGAAAACTATACCTCCTATGCCTGAACGTATACTGTGACAGAAGAGGTCACAGAATGAGTGGACAGCGGGTTGACGTGAAGGTGGTAATGCTGGGAAAAGAGTTTGTGGGAAAGACTAGTCTGGTGGAGAGATATGTGCATAATCGATTCCTCAATGGCCCATATCAGAATGTGAGTATGAATGAGATAGGCACTCCAGATAATGTTTATACTGGGATGCCTTTACCTCTGCGCAGTTTATCTGGATAAATGTGCTATCAGAAATGCTGTTAATGCAAAGCTAGTGCCCAGTACATGGCTGATTGGCAGCAGGCTAGGGAAATTACCTAACTAAGCTGACGAATGACTGGTAGAAAAGTATGAAGTCATTGACATAGAGATAGCAAGAACTGCAGATACTGGAATCAGAGTCAATATGGTATGGAGCTGGAGAAACAAAGCAGGTCGGGCAGCATCAGAGGACAGGAAAGTTGATGTTTCAGGTTTACACCTTTCATCAGGACCGAAATGTTGGTTTTCCTGCTCCTCTGCTGCCTGACCTGTGTACCTCCAGCTCCACAGTGTTGACTCTGACTCCAGCATCTGCAGTTCTTGCTATCTCCAAGCCACTGAAAACCCTACTGTGAGGCCTCTTCCAAGGATGCCAACCTTGCAGTTGTTGTCCTCCCTACAAAAAGATCTGTGGATTTCTCTCCCGCTGCAACCCACTGGCGATCTCCTCTGCCCTGAAGCTCTTCAACCACATACTAAAACAAACCTGTTACTACAGCCATGTCTCCTTTCTCAGTACCTGCCTACACAGCCTCAGTCCTGATGAAAATCACTATGCAGTTGTGATATGTAAAGCATCGTATTGCAAGTGGACTTGTGAATTTTTTGTGCCTAGTCCCACAGATGCATTAACTGTTGATGCAAACTTGATGAATTTGAACTCAAATTCTTCTGTGCTATGTAAGTCAAGGAGGTATTAATCCATTTAAAATATCAAGTTGGTGCTTCTGTTAACATAAACAAAATTTCTCCATCTGCATTGTTATGTAATTGCAGGCTACAAATTAGTATCTTCCACTACAGAATGTGTCTGTGCCTATATTAGAAAAGACACTATCAATCTTTCAGGGAGGGTTTGACTAATCTAAACTGATTTTCCAAAACCGAAATAACAGCAACCAAGATGAAAATCCTAAAATGTTGGATGGTCACATCCTTAGAAATATCTTGAGTACTCGATCGCACGTTAACAATTTCTGCTTCCGCAGTCAGCAGCTTCTACATGCTGTAAGGGTACAGCCAGACAGAATCAGAGTGGACATGTTACCATAGAAAAGTTATTAATGCTGAGATTAAGTAATCTGGTCTTCTAAAAGCATTTCAGCTACAGTATTAGACATAGCTTTCAGTTATTCAAAGTTGCAACAGCATTGATGTAGCACTATTAATTCAATAAAACCTGTCTGGGCACTACAGGATCCAAATCAGACATAACTGGTGCTTCTGGGTTACTGTTATTTTTCTTGAATGTCAGTGATTAGTAATTGCAATTGTAGCAGTTAATCCAAGGTGGAAAATTCCACTTCTCTCTCCCACTTCCATACTCTGTGAAAGTAAGGCAGGAGAGTTATTGCATTGTAATTTGTCATTATTTGTTTTGTAGCTATGATGGTGGTTCAGAGTCTGGTCCATTCAGATTTTGCTTCCCTGTATTCACATTGATTTGTGAAGAAGTAATTCTGCTAGCCTGAAACATACCTACTTCAAGCCATGTTAAAATCTACGCCTACTGACTGCAGATTCTTTGCTTTGAAAAACTCCATGGTTGCAGTATGGGACCGAAGATTTCTGCAGGGCAGGGTTACAATCCCAGAATTAGCTGATAACCAGTAGTGGATTCAGTTCACCCTTAGTTTCACTGCATAACACTGGTTATTACTTTGGAAAGTGTCAGTTGAGGGCTTCCATAATTGGGAACTTGGCAAGTCATTAAATTTTGGGGTGGGCAGTAGATGTGCCTTCATGTTTTGGAGGGATTAGGAAGCTGCAGTCACTGTTTAAATGGAGTCTGGATTACAGTTACACAGTTTGGCTCATTCAGCACAATCAGGGCTGAATCAGCTTTTTTAACGAAGTGCAAAATATTGGAGAGCTTTCGTAAAAGAGTTAAGCATTGCACTGAAAGCAGTTCAGAGAAGTTAACTTCTCAGGGCAATGCTGTTAGTTCAAAACTTAAAGCCTAGCTGTTAACTGTTCATCAGCATTAATGGATCCATTCTCCATGGCACCATTTTTAACAATGTCCACTTGGCAACCAATTAATGTTCTGCCTGAATGCATACATGCCAGTTTTCCACTGGTATTGCTGTGAAGCATCCTGATAAGTGCAAGATGTAAACTTTCAACAGTGTCATTTCTTTCAGCTGTGCATTGTGTTTACAAAGATACAACTGATTTTATTGATACAGATGCTGAGGGGGTGCTTCATTTTGTGGGGGAGTCTCAAACTAGGGTGCACCACTTTAAAACAGGGGCCCTTCGATTTAGGACAGAGAAGTCCATTGTGGAATTTTCTTCCTTCTGTATGAACAGTGGAGGCTGATCAGTGAACATCTTTAGGCCAAAGTTAACAGATTTTAGATTGCTCCCCTATTTTATATCAATCGGAAATTCAATTAAGGCTGCAGTCAGATTTGCTGTGATTCTATTGGGTGGCAAGTTCAAGGGGTGAATGGCCTACTTTTATTTCAAATGTTCCTATGCACGAACATGGGACATAGGTCGATGTTTTGTTCACTTTTTAGCTTTTGTTTAAAAATCATTTGGTCAGAATGAGGCTTTGCCACCAAATTGGGAATGTCTACTTACTAAATTTGAAAAAGATTTGATATAAAACTATTAATGTCATTTAGAAACTGGGTAGACTATGAAATGGTTTTATAGTCACTGATTTTTAAAAAATCTGTGCTGACTAAAAATGCTTCTGTTGACACATCTTTTAAATTCATTCATGGGACGTGGGTGTCACTGTCAAGGCCTCCATTTATCTGTCCTGAGGGCCATTAAGAATTTACCACATTGCTGTGTGTTGGGCTCGTGCACCCGACCAGCTTAGGATGCCAGGTTTCCTTTCCTGAAGTACGTTAGTTAACCAGATGGGTTTTTACGACAACTCACGTTGGTTACATGGTGATCATTAGGATTTTTGCAGATATTTAGTGAATTTAAATTTCACAAGCTCCCATGGTGAGATTTTTACTCATGTCTGCAGAATATTAGCTTAAGGTTCTGGGTTACTACTATAAGGAATGCTTTTTCACAAAGGGGGAAAATTTGCCATTTTGTTGAGTTAGATCACCCAATTGTGCTGGTTTTCGTTTTATTAAGAATCTGAATTCTTAAGTATCCAAATTGTGGGTTTTGGATGCAAGCTCCCCATTGCATCCAAAGTAGAACCTTAGTCCATGTTTAGTTTCTCCTAAATTGTTCATGTTTAGGAACATGATCAAAAATTGAAAAGCTCCAACTTGGCATTTACTGCTTTAAAGCTGCAAATGCCAGTTTTGTCTGACATTCACACTCAATGGCAAGGGGTGAGTGGACCTCTGATAATAAAGAAATAGAAAAGTGTTGACATTGCTCCAATGCATCCCAATTAAATGCCACAGGGAAGCCAAATTTTTGGCTTCTTGATCAATTAAGGATGTCATTGACATAAGGAACTAACTGCCATTCATTAATGTTTCTATATGTTTTAGTGAGTTATATTTAGGTCAATTATTTGGTTCTTACTGCAACAGTACAGAATCGTCAAATCATAGAATTTTACAGTACAGGAGGAGGCCATTTGATCCATCATGGCTGCACCAGCTCCCAAAGAGCTTCCCAGCAAGTCCCATTCTCCAGCCCAACTCCGTAGCCCTCTAACTTTATTCCTTTCAAATATATATCCAGCTTTCTTTTTGAAACCTCATGGAATCTGCCTCTATCGCACGCATTCCAAATCTGAACGACTCTGAAGAAGTTTCTCCTCATCTCGCTCCTAGCTGTCTTGTTGACAGTCTTGAAATTGTGACTCCTAGTTACTGACATACCAACTAGTGGAAACAGGATATCCTTCTCTACCCTGTCAAAATTATTTATAACTTGAAACACCCTAATAAGGTCCCCTCTTAATCTTCTCTGCTCCAGGGAGAATAAGCTCAATTTCTGTAATCGTTCCTTGTACCTAAAGTCCCTAATTCCTGGTATCATTCTTGTAAACTGCCTTTGCACTCTCCAGGGCTTTACCATCACTAAATGAGATGCCCAGAAATGCATACACTGCTCCAAATGTGGTCTAACCAATGATTTTTAGATGTGTAGTATCACTTCCTTGCTTTTATACTTCACACCTCTATTTGTAAGCCCAAGGATCCTATAAACCTTTTAACTATTACAACCTACAATGCTGCCTTCAGAGAATTATGTACTTGAGCCCCAACCTCTGCTCCTTTATTCCCCTCAAAGTCATACCACAGAGGCTGTATTGTCTGTCCATATTCTTCTACTTAAATGTGTTGCTTCATATTTCTCTGCATCGAACTTCATCTGCCAGGTGTCTGCACATTTGTTCTTCAACTTGTCAATGTCCCTCTGTCGCTCAGGGTCATCATCACAATTCTCTGTTCGCCCCAGTTTAGTTACTCTGCAAATTTAGAGACTTTGCCCTCCACACTCCCCTCCAAATTGTTTATATAAATCGGAAAAAACAAGGCTCCCAACACTGAGGGGAACATCCCTTTCAACTTGTTTCCGGTCTGAGAAATGCCCACTTATACCCATCCTCTGTTTCCTGTCTTTTAGCCAACTTCTAATGGTTGCCAAAGACCCATCAATCCAAAACATTTCTAATTTGCTAACCAACCTACAGTGTGACACTGTACCAAATATTTTCTGCAGATTCCAAATATAAACGTCCACAGTTCTACCCTCATCCAATGCCTGTCACCTTTTCAAAGGTTTCAATTGAATTTGTCAGACGTGACCTTGGAAAAACTTGTCTGTTTAGTATTAATTTATTTTTCTGTGTATGTTTATATTATCCCATGTTGTGTTTACCCACGAGCTGCCCCCTTCTTAAACAACAATTTGACATTTGTAATCCTCCAATCCCCCAGGATTGTGCTCTGATAGGCCTGGAAAATTTCTGTCAACGGCTCCTTGATTTGCTCCCTTACCCCTCTCGGCAATCTAGGATGCATCCCGTCTGGTCCTGGCAACTTCTTTACCTGGAGTGCTGCCAGCCTTTTTAGCACCTCTTCTTTATCCATCACTACATACTGTTCAGTTCTTTTTTTAATTGGCTTATGGGATGTGGGTGTCTTTGGCTGGGCCAGTATTTATTGCCTGATCCCTAATTGCCCAGAGGGCAATTAAGTCAACCACGTTGCTGTAGGTCTGGAATTGCATGTAGGCCAGACCAGGTAAGGATGACAGATTTCCTTCCCTAAAGGACATTTGTGAACCAGACAGGTTTTTCTCGACAATCTACAATTGTTTCATGATCATCATTGGACACTTAATTCCAGATTCTTTATTGGATTCAAATTCCACCTTATGCCAAGGTAGGATTTGAATCCAGGACCTCAGAACATTAGCTGAGTTTCTGGATTAATAGCCTACCAATAATACAACTAGGCCATTGTAGTTGCGCAACTCCCATATTTTCAACTGGGCCATCATCACCGTTTTGTAATTTGGTAAAGTCAGAAGCAAAGTACTGATTTAGTACCTCCGCCCTACTGTTTGTTTCAGTGAGCAGCTCATCCTGCTTGTTCCTTGTGGGCCTCACTCTGTCCTTCACTGATCTTGTACTCTTAATACGTTTGAAAAACATTTCACAATTGTTTTAGTGCAGCCTGCCATCCTTTCCATCTGCTTCTTCAACTTCCTATTCCAGCTTTAGCTTTTGAGGTTCTCTTCCTGATTTGTACTGCTGCTGTCACCACAGTAAGCATCATATGCTTCCTTTTTCTTCCTTTTCTCATAAGTATCCTTAGTCGTGCAGAATACTGTAGCTTTGGGTATCCTGTATTTACTTCTCATTGCTGTTTCTCCCTTTGCATCCTAATTCATCTTGTTTGAAAGTCTCCCATTTGTCGTCATCTATTTTATACATCAAAATATGTTTCCAATCAACCTGCACCAGTTTGACTATTAGACTCCTAAAATCTGCCTTTTTCCAGACTGGGGTCTTAATCCCTCACCAGTTTCTATCCTTTTCCCAACTTTATAGTATCTTGTTATATCATCGCTATTTTCCAAATGCACCCCCACTGTAACATTCTCCACTTGGCCTGTCTCATTTCCTACATGGTGTCAGATCCAACATGGTGTCCTCCCTGCTACGTCTGGAAAGTACACCTGTAAAACATTGCAGGAAATTCTCCCCTTTTGTGCCTGGACTCTGCCTTTTTCCCAGGATAATTGAAATCATCAACTATCACAACCCTACTTGTCCTGCGTATTTCCATAAGCTGCCTACAAATGCTCTCTCCTACATCCTCCCACCTTTTTGGAGGTTTATAATAAATACCCAACAAGGTAACACTTCATTTAATACATAGATTCTAATTCAGGAACTGTATCTCGCTCAAGGGCAATGATACTATCTTTGACCAAGACTGCTGCAACCCAACCTGTTTGTACTAAAAGATGTAAAAACCCAGGATTTTAAGTATCCAGTCCTGTTTTGGCTTTGAGCCACGTTTGTCAATGCCAGTCTGTTGTATTCCCTGGAGCAATTTCTGCTTTCAGTTCCTCAGTTTTGTTCACCATACTCCTGGCATCTCTATACATACAATTTAACCCTGCCCTTATCTCTTTCTCAGCCATGTGGAAGGAAACCATTTCCTTGTTCACTGTAAACACTCAAGCCTTCCCTCACTTCCTTTTCCCTGTTCCCATCTTCTCCCTTTTGCCCTCACTGGTACTTCTAAAACGGACTTATTAGTCAACCCTGCCTCCTGTGCCTTATCAGTTTACATCAACCCTCACAACATTATTTAGTCTCAGCAGGAGATTAGTTCCACTTCTGCTCAGGTGAAAATAATCTCTTCTGAGCTCAAAGTGATCCCAATGTCCCAAAGTGTACACCCCTCCCTTCTATGTCATCCCTGAAACCACACATTTCCCTCCCTGATCTGCCTTTGCCTAAGTGGTGAAGCTTGTGGCACAGGTAGTATTTCTGAGATTACTGCTCTGGAGGTCCTCCATTTTAACCTACTCCTTAACTCCTGAAACTGATCCTGCAAAGACCTCCAAGCTAATCCTCTGTCACTGGTTCCCACAAGAGCCACAGTCACTGGTTGTTCAGTCTTCATTTCCAGAAGTTTATCCAGCCTTATGTTCTGGACCCTTGCACCTGGGAGGCAGCAGATCATAAGGACCCTCAATCACTACTGCTACCTTTCAAATCTGCCTGCCAGCCCCTCTTCCCAGTTTGGCCTTGGCCACCATGGTGCTGTAGTTTCCCCTCCAGTCATCCACCCCTGACTCAGTCGTGTTGGTCAGGAAATAGGCATCTGAAATTTCATCTGTTTGATGGCTCCAAGCAGTCCTGGGTTTTCTGGACCTGTCTTTTTTTTTAAACTTCTCAGGGTATCATCATCCACTTACTTACCATCCATACACTCATCCTTGCCTGCCAGCCACAACATGGAGTGACTATTCTGTGGTACAACTGTTCCAGAAACCGCTCTGGTGTGCAGCGAAGAGAGGTGATGCTCCAAATCGGCCACATGTTGGTTAAAGACTGCTATCCTCTGGCACTTCATACAGATGTGACTGTCCTGGATGCCTTGTGTATTCAAAGCATCCCACATTTTACATGCCACACATCACAAGCTTTCCCAGAGTCTCTGTCATCTTTACTGGGCAAGATGATGCACACTGCTGAGGCTCTGCTGTTTCTAAGGTATAAATTAGTTTGTAACAGACCCTCTTTCTTTGTGAGGAGGAGGAGGGAAGGAAACATCACAGTAATTTACTTCGAGGATCTCGGGGTGGGGGGAGGGGGGGAATGCAGGCAGAACAGAAGTATTCACTAGACACTTTGAACAAACAGCTAAGGAGCGTAAGTAACTTTTTTCAGGGAACAGGTCTACATTTAATCCACTGGTTTCTATTTCAGACGATCGGTGCTGCCTTTGTGGCCAAGCTCATCCATGTTGGTGAAAAGGCCATCACACTTGGAATCTGGGTAAGCTGATGTCTTTAGTTCTGGCATTGTTAGCAAATCAGGAAGGTTATTTTGGAGAGAGGTCCAATGTGCTTTGATTGTGGAATCAATTGTTAATTAGTGTTCTGTTGTGTAGTTGTATTTGATGTCGACACTCGTTTGTGTAATCCCACAAGTTTCAAACATGCAGAAGTTAGTTTTTGGCCATCTCATTAGTAAAGGTAAATATTATGGAATTCCTGAAGGGTTTTTTTTGTTGAGCCTGTTTGAATATCAAGTTATTGTTGCTCAAGTGTACAAATCAGCCTATAGCAGTTGAGTGTTCTGATGAATTTGTACATAGAAATAGTGTGAAATAAGACACGTTGCAAAAGATATCTGCCAATGATTATTCACTACTTTTTCAATCCTCTCCCACTGCTGCTGTTCGTTGAATACACATTTAGTTTTATTTGTTAGTGGTTTGTTGGCATCGTTGGCCATGCTAACATTGCCCTGGAGTTGATGAGCTGTCTCCTTGAATGACTGCAGTCCTTGAGGTATAGGACCATCCAGAGTGCTGTTAGGGACTTTCACAAGTTTTGAAATATTACCTCCTCTTACCCCTCTTCATTAAACCCTATCAATATAACTTCCTGTTCCATGCTTGCCCTGTGCATGCCTGATGTCAGGGTTCTGACAGGTTTTGATTGCAGTTACAAGGTAGGGAAGGTATTTGAAAATACCCAAATAAGTATTTGGTATACTTTTTTGTAAGCAGTGGATGTATTTTGTTCCCTGTCAGGACACTGCAGGGTCAGAACGGTATGAGTCCATGAGCAGAATCTACTATCGTGGAGCCCGAGCAGCTGTTGTTTGCTTTGGTAAGAAATTTGCAACTGCTTCTGCTTGTTTTTTTTTTTTTTTTTTTTTGCTATGTGGGTGCAGAGAATCATACTTTGTAGAGGACAATGAGGAACTAGTCAGCAGGAAAAAAAAACAAGTGAGTCTTGTGGCTTTGCTGTTATTCACTATTATAACCCACCACAATTTTAGATTGTGCAGAATCAAAACCTGTGCTGTTTTTAGGGACAGTTTGTTTTACATTTCCTAAATTCTAAGTTTCTGTAGCACGCCAGCTGCTGAGTTTCATAGTTGGTTTCAGACTTGGTTTTAACTGGAACAGTTCCACTTTGTCAAGTTATCCAAAAAGGAATTTAAAGAAAGATGTGATTTTAAACTACCCCATGATGAATGGCTTCCAAAGCTTCTGCATGGGAGTCTGACTTAAATTGAGGGATAACATGGGAAGATGGAGTTGAGGCAGATGATCAAGCATGTCATCTCATTTAATGAGATCATGGTACAAGGGTCAACTGATCTACTCCAACTTCTATTGCAGATCACATCAAATTAGTGTCAAAGTTATTTTTGAGGAGGCGACAAAGATGCTTCAAGAGGGTTTAGATGTTGAGTTTTAAAATCTGGTAGATGAGTACACAATGCAGAGAAATGTGACATTACTTATTTTGGTAGGAAAACAGGACAGTGGAGTATTTCTTGAATGCTGAGGCGCTTTGGAATTTTGAACTTGAAAGGGCCCTGGGTTCATGAGTCACTGGAAGTCCACGTGCAGATACAGTTACGCTGACCTTCATTACAAGAAGATTCAAGCATAGGAGGAAAGAAATCTTGGCAATTGCCATGAAGCCTTGGTGAAATTGCACTTGGAGTAACTTTGTGTGTAACTCTGGTCCCCTTATCTACAGAAAGATACTTCCCATAGAGATCCCTGGGATGAAGAGATTGTTCTATGAAGAAAGACTAAATTGGGTCTTTATTCTTTCAGAGATGGTTAGATTTAAATTTACAAAATTCTTAAAGCTCAACAGGGTAGATGCAGGCAGAATGTTATTGGTCTGTGAGCCAGGGTTGCAGTGTCAGAATAAAGTGCAGGCGATTAAGGACTGAAATGAGGAGGAATCCCTTCGCTCTGGGTAGTGTTTTTGGAATTTATTGCCCATGAGAATTCAGTGCTGAACTATTGTCTTGAACAGCTGCAGTCCCTTGGGTGTTGCTGCACCCACAAAACTTGCTGGAAGGACATTCCAGGATTTTGATTCTTCCGCAGTAAAGGAACAGCACTATAATTCCAAGTCAGGATGGTGTGCAGCTTGGAAGTGAATTTACAGGTGATGATCCCATGCACCTGCTGCCCTAGTCCTTTGATAAGCATGATGTAAATGAGCAGTTTGGAAGATGCTGTTGAATAATCTTGGTGATCCGTTTGCAGTGCATTTAGTAGATGGGTCTGTTTTGATTGCACAGTCTCTACTTGAGCCATATTGTTACTAGTGTTCGTGCAAACTGCATAACTAAGGAGGATTTTAAAGTGGATCACATTTGGAAAGATGTGGTAAATCAAAGAACCATTTGAAAACAGGCAAGTGTTAAGACTGGAAATGGTAGACCAACAATTTACTTAATACCACTCCTCTACTGATCATTAATTTTCCTGAGTTCCTACCTCACCTGTTTCCTGGTTGAAAACTGCTTCTGGAATAGTGTACAAATCTAAGAGGGAACTTGTAGAAGACTAGAAGCTAGAAAAAGAGTAAAAGATAAAATTAAAGTCGCTGTATCTGAATGTACAAAGCATTCGAAGAAGAGTAGGTGAACAGTGTGCAAATAGAAAGAAGTACGAAGGATCTGGTAGCTATTACAGAGATGTGATTCATAGAATCCCTACAGTGTGGGAACAGGTAATTTGGCCCAACAAGTCCACACTGCCCCTTGGAACAGCATGCAACCCAGACCCATTCCTCTACTCCTGCATTTCCCATGTCTAACCCACCTAACCTAAATATCCCTGGGCACAATAGACAATTTAACATAGCCAATTCACCTCATCTACAGATCATTGGACTGTGGGAGGAAACTGGAGTACCTGGAGGAAACCCACGCAGATGTAGGGAGAATGTGTGAACCCCACACAGTTGCCCAAGAGTGGGATTGAACCTGGGTCCCTGGCGCTGTGAGGCAGCAGTGCTAACCCCTGAGCCACTGTGCTGCCCTTGATTGCAGGATGACATGGGTTGGAACTTGAATCATGAAGAGTACAGGACATGGAAGAAGGACAAAAAAGTAGGAAAAGGAGGAGGGCTGGCTCGCAGTTAAGTAATATCAGCACGATAGAGAGGAATGACTTAAATTCAGGAAGTTGAGATGAAAAATAAGGGCAAGAAATTACTTGTGGGAGCGATGTACAGGGTGCCTAACAGCTTGATTTGAGGGGCACAGGGTGGATAGGAAGCCACTTGAAGGGCTAATAAGAGTGACATAATAAGATCAAGGGTAGAAGGTTTAGAGGGGCTTTGGGGGAAAAACTTCACCCAGAGAGTGGTGGGTATGCACTTGAGAGGGTAGTAGAGGTAGAAAACCTCTCAACCTTCTAAAAAGTATGTGGTGTGGCATGGTGGCCCTGTTATTAGCACTGATGCCTCACAGTGCCAGGGTCCTAGATTAAGTTTCACCCTTGGGTGGCTGTCTGTGTGGTTTGCATGTTCCCCCTGTCTGCTTGGGTTTCCTCCGGTTGCTCCTATTTCCTCCCACAGTCCAAAGATGTGCACGTTAGGTGGATTGGCTGTGCCGAATTGCCCATAATGCCAAGGGATGTGCAGGCAAGGTGGATTAACCATTGGAAATGCAGGGTTACAGAGATTGGGTAGGATGGTGGGTCAGTGTGGACTCAATGGACCAAATGGCCTACTTCCACATTGCACAGATTCTGTGAGCACTTGAAATGAGCCTAGTGTGGGACTAGTATAGATAGGTTGGCATAGACTAAATGGGCCGAAGAGTCTCTTCAGTTCTGTATAACTCTATAACAATAACTGCACGATAGGATCAAGAATAAAACAAAAAATAATTAGTACCATGTCATAATGGAACGGTGATAATCATAGAAGGCGTTAATCGGCACATAGACTGGAATGGTCAGATCGGAAAAGATAGCCTCGAAGTGGAATTCATAAGATTCGTGTTCTGAAGAATGGTCGTTGGACCTGAAATGTTAACTGATTTCTCTCCATAGATGCTGTCAGATCTGAGATTTCCCAGCAGTTTGTTTTGTTTCTGGTTTCCAGCATCCATGGTTCTTTTGGGTTTTGTTTTTGCTTTGTGGAATTCATAGTAGTTTTGGGAAAGTTGCTTTGAACAGCATGTTCTAGAGTCAACCAGAGCAGGTTATGCTACACGTGGTATTGTGCAACAAGTTAGGGTTGCTTAATGGGTAGGAAGCTTAGAGGGCTAAGAAGTAAAGGCACCCTGGGAAGTAGTGTCCATGATGTGATTGAATTTTAAATTTGTTTTAAAGGAGAGGGGAATGGGTCTGAGACTTTTTTAAAAGTCCCGTGCAGTTATGAGGGCATGCAAACAGAGCTAGCTAAAATGAACAGGAAAATTAGGTTAAAGGATAAGGCAATATAAATGCAGTGGTGGACATTTAAAGGGAGATTTCAGAATACACAGTAGATACATACCAACAACTGAGAGAATTTCATGACGTGCACTCTCGATCCTTGCTTAACTAGAATGCTTAAAGGGAAGGTAAAGCAAATAATTGTGCAAAGTCAGTTGGAAGATCAAAAGAACTGGTCAGTGTATGAAGCAGAGCAAATAAAATCCAAACTTCCATCAATACTACTTAGAGTTAAAAGTGAGTGCTAGTATTACAGTGAATGAGTCTGAAGAATTAATAATGGAAAAAAGGTGGAAGAAAACTATTATATTGCATCAGTCTTAACTATTAGAAGGTGCAAGTAACATCCCAGAAGCAGTTTTAATCAGCAAATAGAGGTGAGGGAAGAACTTGGAAAATTACAATCAGTAGGAAAGTAGTATTGAGTAAATTGTTAGAGCTATAGGCTGACAAATGCCGGTGTCTTGATGGCCTTCATCCTAGGATCTTAAAAGAAGTTGCTGGTGAGGTAGGCAGTGCATTGGTTTTAATTTGCAGAAGTGCCTTTGATTCAAAATATGTCCCATTAGTTTGAAAGATAGTAAATGTAACTCTTTATTCAAAATGGGATTTAGATAGAAAGCAGCAAACTAGAGGCCAGTTAGCCTAATGTGCTTTAAGGAATATTTTAGATGTTATAGCAGAGCATTATGTTTAAGGTAATCAAGCAGAGTCAATATGGTGTTGTTGTGGAAGCGAAATCATGTTACTGCAATCGATTGGAATCTTGAGGTATTACATGCTATGGATGAAGGGGCACCAGTGGATGTACAGCATTCAGATTTCAAAGGTATTTGATTACAGTTCCACATCAGATTTTAGCATGGAAAATAAAATTTATTGTAAGGGGTAGCACGTTTTGCATGGAAAAGATTTTGGCTGGTCAACAGGAAGCAGAGTAGGTACAAATTTTTTTTATATTGGCAAGATATCACAGGGCCTCAACCTCTGTCAGTTGACCATGATGAAGGGATGGAAGATATGGTTGCCTAATTTGATGACAAAAGATAGACAGGAAAGTAAGCCAAGGAGGACGTAAGTCTACAAAGAAGCATTGACTGAGTGGGTGAAGTTCTAGCAAATGGTTTGACATCAGGAAATGTGAAGTTCTCCACTTTGTAGGAAGCATAAAAAGAAACATGTTATCTAAGTAGTGAGATTGCAGAGTTCTGACATCCGAGATCTGAGTGCCCTAGTCCATGAATCTCTCAGGTTAGTCTCCAGGTAATTGGTAAGCCTAACAATGTTATCATTTATTGCAAGGGGAATTGAAACAAATGAGGAGGTTATGCTTCGGTTATATCGGACACTTGAGACCACATCTGGAATACTGTGTATAATATTTTAGGAAAGATGTAAATGCATTGGGAGCAGTTCAGAGGTTTATTAGACTAAAACCAGATTAAGACGAAATGTTGGCCAGGCTAGGCTTGTAGCTCCTGGAGTTTGGAAAAGTAAGAGGTGATGTGATTGAAACAAAACCTCTTGAGGGGTCTTGATTGGACACACATGAAGGACATTTCCTCTTGTTGGGGAATCCAGAACTAAGGGTCATTGTTTCAAAATTAGATGTTACACATCTCAAACAGATGCATGTTTTTCCTTTGAGGAGCCTAAGTTTTTGGAATTATCTTCCAGAAAATATGGTGGAAGTAGATTCCTTGAGTATTTGGCCAGAGTGGATTGATTCTTGATAAACAAGAGGATTAAAGGTCATTGGGGTAGGTGAGAAAGTGAATGAGAGGTTACAATCAAGATGAATCAATGAGCCATGAGCTTACTGAATGGCGGTACAGGCTTGAGCTGAGTAGCGTTCTTTGCATTGCTGTTATGCCGACTCATCAGCTGAAGGTAGATGTAGTAGGTAATAATCAGCAGGAGGTTTCCTTGTTCCTTCCTTCCTTTATCTGAAGCATCACACTTCATAGAGTTCAGTCAATGTTGAGGACTCCCAGGATGATTTCCTCCTGACTGTGTTGACTAGGCTGCATTGCAACATCTATTCTCAGGTGCAATCCAAATACTGATGGGCACAGGAGTTTTGAACCTGTTCCATTCCTGACCTTGGCTGATTTACCTCTTCATTTGACCTAGTGATCCTGGAATCCTCCATGACCCATATGTAGTGGATACCTGATTGGCATCATTGCCAAGCAGCCCAGAACTCCTGGTCTCAAGAAATCTGACAGTCATCGGATTATATCATCACTGCTCTGCATACAGATTCAGTCATTCTTCAACAGATGGGAAGAGCGGTGTTGTCTCCACAATGAGATACTTAAACTTTTGTGATGTGGCTGACTGTATACCACGGTGCTGCCACATCTCATGGATCTGTCCTGCTGGTGGGACAGGCCATAATGATTGGTGTGAAGTTTGAGATTGATAAATTTTGAAGCATCCAGGGATAGTGCAAGAAAATGATTTTGATGTAGCACATCAGCCATGTTCTTATTGAATGGTGGAACTCAGTTGAGTGGCCTACTGGAGCTACTCTTTCTACTCTTTCTTTCAATGCTCTTTTTCTTATTGTCCAACCATCTGACAATATTAGAGGATGTTCGGTCAGTTCAAGTGACTCGATTCACTGAATTGATTCAAAGATGATTTCGTAGAACAGCATGATCCTGAGCCCAGAATGCACTTTCTAACATCTTAATTTAGGTGGGTATCAGATATTGCACTAGGATCTGATGTGTAGAAATATTTCAGAGGCTGATCCTCTCGCTCTAAAGCGGTTAGGAATATTGTGAATTGTTAAAAGTTTTATGTCCACTTCTATAAAATATACTGGAGTAACTGTTTACTTGGTATATTTAAAGATGCAACCTGTCATGGTCAGAGAAACTTGTGTGCCCTTGAAGAACAAGAATTTATTGACCTAAATAATAGGCTGAAACCCTTCAAAGTTTTTTTAATAATGGCTGCTCCGATTTTGGGTTTAAACATGATTATTAATTGGCTTTTCTGTCTTCCAGATCTGACTGACAGTAGCAGCTATGCAAGGGCTAGATTCTGGGTGAATGAAGTCCGGAACTGTGAAGAGGTGAATTTTGATTTTAATACGGACGAACCGGCTTTAATCCTTGCTCTGCTGAATAGTCAGAGCTCTGTCTGTCATTGGTTTCCAGTAGTGGGTCAGTGTTTTGATGTAACTAATTTGCAGAGAGCACTATGATCTCATCATTATTATTCTGGCTCTGTAGATTCAGAAAACGAAGCCATTGCAGTATGTATTACATCTCATTTGAACTGCGGCTTCAGTACAGTAATCCCATTCGGCGGGAATCACTGGCTCTGCTCTACGTTGGGTTTTGTGTAGTGGAGGCTGTGGGTTCTGTATGCTTTAGCATTTGAGATATTTGCGCTTTTAAGTTATGGGACCAGCCAGTTTGGGGTTTGGTTACTGGATTTTCACAATGGGTTTTATTGTCTTTAGAATCTGGTGAATGCATTTACAGTACGAGTTATGGGTGGTTGATATGTTTTGAGGTTTTAAGTAGTGGTTTTTCAGTGTGGCTTCACATTCTTATGTAATTTGGAGTTTGATGTATAGCTTGAGTCAGGTTTTTCTTCTCTTTCAGCATTGTAAAATTTATTTGTGTGGAACCAAAAGTGATCTTGTCCAGAATGACCGCAGCGCACGGGGAGTTGATTACCATGATGTTCAAGATTACACAGATGGTAAATTAACAAAACACTCCCTGTTAATGTTGTTTTAGTCAACTGGCAAGGAAGGAGATAGTAAAATTGATCTAGTCAGGCTTTAATGATTAGGGGTTAAATTTCCTAATAGTGAGATGATTTTATGCAGGTGTTGGCCCGTGAAGCATCTCTGGTTTTTTTTTAGAAATACAAGAAAAGTACAAGGTTTTAATCACTTGCTGAACCAGGGTTATAGGGGCATACATTAGGCAGTGAGAAATCTCAATCCTGGTCCAATCTAAATTAAGGCAATTGTGTAATGGATAATGAAGAGTTAATGCAGTCATAAACATTTATTATTTCCTTGAAAGGCGATACATATGGAAGCAAGTAACTCCTGAAATCAGTTGAGAACGCACTTTACTAATAACTGCAAGTGTCCTCTCCTGCCATGAAATTTTGATATTACCATTTGAAAGGTTCTAAGAAATTGATATTCCACACACTTTAGTAATTTGTCTCACAGGGCAAGCACTTTCTACCCTGAATATGAATGTTCTGTTGTTTTCCATCTCCAATAACTAACCATTTGGACACAATGCATTATTTTCAGTATTTCAAAATCTGCAACCTATTTGCTACAAACCTCTGTTGCTTTGTAGAAAATATAATAGACCCAAAACAAAGTTTTGTTCATAGTGACAGCCCAAAAACAGACCCTTCAGTTCAACTAGTCTATGCTGACCAGGTTTCCCCAAATTAAACCTGTCCCACTTACCTGCATATGGCCCATGTCCCTCTAAACCTTTCCTATTCATGTACCTGTCCAAATGTGTCTCAAATGTTGTAACTGTACAACATCTACAACTTCCTCAGACAGTTTATTCCACATACGAATCACCCTCTGGAAAAAGTTGCCCCTCAAGTCCTCTTTTAAATCTTTATCCTCTCACCTTTAAAAATATGCGCCCTAGTATTGAACTCCACCCCCCCACCCCCCAAAAAAAAACCCTAGGGAAAAGATCTTTGCTATTCACCTCATCTACATCACTCATGATTTTAGAAACCTCTTTAAGGTCAACCTAAGCTCCAGCTGAAGAAGCCCCAGGCTATTCAGCCTCTCCTTATAACTGAAACCTTCTAATCCTGGCAACATCCTAGCTCTGAAGTGTCATCTGGACTCGATGTTAGTTTTCTCTCTCTCTTCCATGGATGCCCCCTGACCTGTGATTTCCAGCATCTTTTGTTTTCAGTACAGATTCCGGCATCTGTACTAATTTGCTTCAACATCCTAGTAAATCTTTACTGAACTCTCCAATTTTTAATAATATTCTTCCTATAGCAGGGCAACCAGAACTGTGCACAGTACTCCAAAAGTGGCCTCACCAATGTCCTGTACAGCCTCAACATGATATCGCAACTCCTATACCATACTGAGCAATGAAGGCAAGCGGGCTAAATGCCTCCTCACCATCCTGTCTATCTTTGGCCGCAATTTTCAAAGAACTAAGTACCTGAACCCTTGGGTCTCTATGTTCGACAACACCACCGAGAGCCTGACCATTAACCATACAAGTCCTGCCCTTTTTTGTTTTACTGAAATGCAATACCTCGCATTTATCCAAATTAAAACCATCTGTCTTTCCACAGCCCAATGGATCAATTGATCAAGATCCTGTTGTAATCTTAGATAACTTTCTCCACTGTCCACTATACCACCAATTTTGGTATAATATACAAACTTACTAACCATTCCTCCTAAATTTTCATCCCAGTCATTTATATAACTGACATTGCTAGTCACAGGCCTCCAGTCTGAAAAACAACCTTTCACCACCATCCTCTGCATCCTACTGTCAAGCCAATTTTGTATCCGATTGTCAAGCTCTCCTCGAATGCCACGTGATCTAACTTTACTACTCAGTCTACCGTGTGGAACCTTGTCAAAGGTTTTACTAAAGTCCATGTAGACAACGTCTACCACTCTGCACTCATTGAGTTTTTTGAGGATGTAACCAAAAAGATTAATCAAGTTTGTGAGACACTATTTCCCATGCACAAAGCTGTGCTTTTTTAGTTCCACATGGGATGTGGGCACTGACTACGCCAACATTTATTGTTCATTCCTAATTGCCCAGAGGGCAGTTGAGTCAACCATGTTACAGTAGGTCTGGAGTCACATGTAGGCCAGACCAGGTGAGGGTGGCAGTTTCCTTCCCTAAAGGACATTAGTGAACCAGATGGGTGCTTATGACGATAGGCAATGGATTCATGGTCATCATCAGACTCTTAATTCCAGATTTTTAAGATTGAATTGCCTCCCTGATGCTGACAATTCCTAATCAGTCCAAATGCATGTAAATCTCATCTCTCAATCCCCTGCAACAAATTACCTACCACTGATGTCAGACTCACTGGCCTATAGTTGCTAGGTGTTTTTTTAAAACCGCCTTCCTTAAATGAAAGCGCAACATTAAATACCCTCCAGTCCTCTGGTAACTCACCCTGCTGTCTAAGTGTCCCATGAATCTGACTTGATATTTGCTGCAAGCTTAGGAACAGTGGATAAGTTTATTTTTTATTTGACCCTCTGGCTACAGTATATGCAAAAACAAGACTTGCAATAATACCTGTCACATCAAAATATGCTACAGTCAATTATCAAAGATTTAGTGCTGTGCAACAAATACAACAGCAAGTTGATTGCATTAAGTTTGCATGTCAAGCCATAAGATGTATCTAAAATAGCCCAAAACTTCCTCAGTACTACACTGGAGTTAGCCTAATATGTACTGAGTGCAAATCTCAGTATTTCTACTGTAAGTGTCCCTGATAACTATTCGTATAGATACCACTGCCTAGTATCATGGCACAGTGGCTCAGTGGTTAGCACTACTACCTTTCAGCGCCAGGTACCCAGTTCAATTCCACCTTCTGGCGACTGTGGAGTTTGCACATTCTTACTGCGTCTGCATGGGTTTCCTCCCACACTCCAAAGATGTGCAGATTAGCTGGATTGGCCAAGCTAAATTGTCCATAGTGTCCAGGGATATTTAGGTTAGTTTGGTTAGACATGAGAAATGCAGGGGTTGGAGAATAGGTCTGGGTGGGATGCTGTTTGGAAGGGTGGTGTAGACTTGTTAGGCTGAATGGCCTGTTTCCATACTGTAGGGATTCTATGAAATTGAATGGTGCTTTTATGGGGCCTGGTAGTATCCTTAGCTTTGAGCTAGGAGGTCTGGGTACAAGTCTCACCTGCTCCAGAGATGTCATTAACATCTTTGTTCAGGTTGATTAAAATATCAAAACAGGTTGATTATAAAATACCTGAATTGTGTCTGTTTTGAGTGGTGCAATTCAGTATCTTATTGCAACAGAGTAAAAAGAAATTTATATGTTTCACCAGTCTCGCCTTAGTACTTCTGAAATAAATCTACAGCTTTACGGCATTTTTTTCAGCACAGGTAAACTAACCTGAGTTCCCTCCAAGAAGAGGAAATGTCCTGTTCGTTAATAAGTGTTGGTTGATAATGTTAGTTTGTTGACATTGCAAAATAATTATGGAAGTGGCATTTGACAATGAGCACACTGTCTAAGCCAAAGGTTTAAAATGTAACTTTTTTTGTTGTAGTCAGCCTTGGGTAAGGTTAATCTTACTGGTGACTTCAGATATTTGACAAAAACAGCACAGTCAGTTGTCAAAGTGCAATTTGAAGAAAGTAAGTAATGCTTTGTTTTGAGAGATTTTCACTGAGTCATGTGTAATGTTTGTTTTTTTTTAAAGAGATCAAAGCCAAGCTTTTTGAAACCTCCAGTAAGACAGGCCAGAATGTGGGTAAGTTTCTATTTTCGATATCTCTGTCACATCATATCTCTGCTATCGCCCTTTCCTTCTGAGAGGCATTGGAATAAAGTTTGAGTATTAGAGGCATAATGGAATCTTGAAACAGTGTAAGGTTTTATAGTGACGTTTTGGATGAAGATTGGAGAACTTTGCAATCAGACTGCAATGAGGAATTGGGAGGTGGCAAGAAATTTGCAAAAGCACGAATACGCTGAACCAAAATCCTTTTTGTTCTCCTCTTTCAGATGAACTGTTTCAGATAGTAGCAGAAGATTATGTGAATGTAACAGCCTTCCAGGTGATGACAGGTAAATAAAATAGGAATTCAGGCTTTATCGGAAACCAACAGTCTGAAAATTGACTATTTAGAAGGATCTGGGCATTCAGTTTGAGAAAATAAAGTCTGGGGTATCTACTATGTATTTTTGAATGTCTCATGGTCTGTCACTTTAGGTTTTGAATGGTCTTAGGTGCTCGGTGTGTAAGTTTTAATTTATGACCACATCTGAGGACTAGCTGTCTGAGGATTCACTACGAACATTAGTACCTGATGGTCCATGATGTTTTCCATTTACAAGTAATCATAAGGTCTAAAGTATAAATTTTAGTATATAACAGGGTGTGGGTATTTAATGAATGAGAGAGTTAGTAAGTGATGAGGTCTGGATATTCTTTCTATTGTCATGAGTCTTATGTACTACTTTGTGTTCTTTGTTCTTAGAAGGTGAAGAAGCTGTGAACCTGGCTGAGAAGAAGAAATCTACTTACTTACTTAGTTGTTGTCACCAATAGCATCTGATTTGTAAAGACCCATTTGCCAATATTTTAAGGAGGAATTGTACATGGATTCGCTGGACTGAAACTCCTTATTCATAAAACTGTTGCAGTATCATGGTCTGAGACATGAGGCTGGAACCATTGTGATGTGACTAGTGGGAAATTGCAGTGTCCAAATGACAGTCTGACTCTTGAACTGAAGTGACCTGTCTTGTTGGAGTACCACAATCAGCATATTTCTGAACTTGGTGCAGAGGTTGTCTCTGGGCAGTCCTCCTTGCACGGTTAAATGTCTTTGGCTTTTTATATTTTAGAACTTTGCCAAGATTTTGTGCATGACCTACCATTTTTGCCTCTTCTGGTTTTGTGATAATTTAATTGTTTTTGTGTTGCCCACTGAAAGTGGTGGCAGATCTCAGGAGCGTTCACTGCACCAAGCAAAGGGACTTGCATCTATTATGCTACATCCATGGTACCTAGGATTCAGCTATCCACGTCTGTTGATGGTAATATCTTGCTGAATTTTTAATGTGCACGTTACATTTTGACTTTTAGCACTCCTGCTCAGCTGTTTCACATTGAACACTACTGTTCCAGAATAACTGTATTAATGTGGGATTTCAATTGCCTGGTGACTGTCCTTCCAAGACTATCTCTGAGCAGTTGCTTCCAGTTTTTATTCATGTTCTCTTCTGGTGCACAATGTTTCAAAAATTCTCAAATAGAACTTTATTTCAAATCAGACTGTACTGTCTGGATTCTTGTCTTGCTGTAAATTCTTACATATTGCTGCTTCATGGTGTAATGCTGATCAAACTAGCCAGACATGAAAGATGGGCAATGCTGACTGTTTCATAGTGAGGGAAGAGGAAGTTACAAACTGTATAGAAACATGATGTACAGGAAATAAGGTATATGTGATATGGAGTATGCTGATTGCAGTAACTTTTTTGTCAGACACACACACATGACTTTATACAATGAATGATCTTCCATTTTAGATGTTTGAGTTCAAAAGTGTGGCAATAGTGGAAGACACCAACACCTAATGTTTGTGCTCTGACTCTGGATGTAAGTTTGGTGGGCTGAGAGTATTGTATGACGTGGGGTTACATGTTTAGTGATCAAATTTTATTGCCATATAATATGGACTTTACATTTCATAGTTAAGAACTACTGTGGCACTGGCACTGTCATCACTGTTTTAGTTGTAAGTATTCTCTTGCACTGCAGTTCCTTAATTCTCCTAATTACTTGGTTTGCACAGTGATATTCAGCATTATAAGCAACATGACATCTCATCCTAGTACCACTGGCCATGCAAGTATTGGCAGCAAATTTAACAAGAGTGAAGTTATTTGGTTGACCATTACCAATCACAGCTGGAAGTCACTAGTGCAGGACGCATGGCTGTAGACACAGATTGCACCTCTTTTAACCTCATCTGGTGACATTTAACATGAGAAATTAACACACATTGTGGCTTTGTTACTGTAATCCTTCCAGCACCAAGAAATGTAATTTACGTTTCTAAATTCTTTATTTTCACCTTTCTCTCTTTAATGTTTCACTCATTCTAAAGTGACAAGGAAAAGCATGCAACTGTCTTCTGTGTGGTGTCAGGTGCAGGATATCGTGTCCAGACAACATTTCCCAGCCTCCTTTGGTTTAAAGATGCTCGCTTCAACAGCTAGCTATCTGAATCATGACAAATACGCACTTCATTCTGAAATTTTGTCAGTAACAAGTGTAATATCTGAATTGAGCTCAGTGTGGTGTACAATTGTACATTGGGGAATAGATGGTATTAAGAGTTTTTAAAAAATCATGTCCTATTTTGCATTAATTTGAATAGGGACTTCTCAAATTTGGACCCAAGAAATATGTGAAAATATTTTTTGATTTGAAAACAGATGGTACATCACAGTAAACTGCTTAATTTTAGCATGTTGGTATTTATATAACTGAGGTGAGATTCAGATTCTGTAACTAAACTTCCCATTAGAATGGTTTTTGACTTTACGAGAACTCTCCACTCTTATCAAATTATTGATGCATTTAAAGCTATACATGCAGAGCACTTCTGTTCCTGTAATGCGTGGAAATGTCAAAGATACAAAGCATTATTTCACAGACAGGAGGAAAAACTTGACAGCATTAGTGTGATTTGCTGAACCAAACGCAAATGAATTAATTCACACCTGGTGCAGAACACAGGCATGAATATAATAAATGCTGCTGATACTAAGTTAATGCACTGTATTGGAAATATTTTGTCATGGTTTCCAAAAAACACTTGCAGGTTCAGGGAATATTTCCTGAATTGTCACTGCTGTATTTTCTAAATTGGCAGATACACATACTTGCAAGACACTAAAATGCTGCCTCACTGGTGTGCATATTTGTTGATTGAAGGGGAAACTTGTATGGTTGAGTCACTTTAGAATATAGTTCAGCAGCTTGAGGTAATTCAGGGGATCATTCTTTTTATACTTTCTATCATATTTTGTGATTAATGCCTTAGTCTGGCTCCACTCAGCAGGCAAGCAAAAGGTTCTATCATGGCACAGGTGGTAGGAGGCACTAATTTTTCTGATCAAAGACTACTTTGTCTTTATGTACAAGTGATTTCATTACATTTTGGAAACCCATACTTGGTGCTGTGGAGTCGGTGTATCTTGTAACACTGGTCCTCTGTAAATAAACCTAATAAAGGTGGTTAACTATTACATCAGTTGTATACACTAACATCTCTATTCATTATTTGGATCTTGTGTTGAAACTTTTATTACAAAGTCATTTGATTTTAATGTAAAAATATTAAATGCACAAAGCTTTAACATTTACTGCTTGACTTGAGAGAATTGCTTTATTTGCAACAATTGACACTATTATATTTGAGAATTGGTATTTTATTTTTGTACTTGCAGATGGACTCTCTTGCATACCCTAGTCAAGCAGCTGTTGTGTAAGAATTGTGCTTTACTGTAGTAATAAGTAATTACAAGCTATGAGTATCAGTTTGCCTCGTTTTCAGACTGCTGGCAGGAGGGTGTGCATAATCAGCCTCAGTATATGTTCCTGAGACACATTTGCAGTCCTAATCTTCCAGTTATCTAGCTCAAGAATGGTTATGACAGCCTGCAGGTGATAAGGCATTCTACCAATGCCAAATATCCAGTTACTTACATGACATACTGAAGGGCTGAGTGTGCCCAGAACTTTGTGGTCGCTTTTTTTTTGTTTTTGTTGATACCATTGAGAACATTACTTTTTTGTGCTTTCTGGTACTGCTGATGATTAGCCTCAGAATAACTGATCTTGTGTACTCTTCCTCTTGCACTTTTCAAGTGCCTTTTTTTTGCCAGTTCACAAGCTTTGGTTTGATTTCTGTCTGAAAATGTTGGAAGTAGCCTCTGAGCTTTGGTTTACATATTTCTCAGTTAATGTGAGGGGTCCTCCCACTGAATCCTGTAGATGCTTCAGTGTATCCCTAATGGCAAACTAAATGGGAACTCTAATCCAATTATTAGGGCATTCTTGATAACTCTAATCATGGTCTTTTCATTGCTTCTTTGAAAGTGCAGATGATGAGTTGAATGCAAGTATTAAGACTTTACTAAATGGTTCTTCGAAAGTTAGTATTGGAATTTAAAATGTTGGTTTAATTCACAATTGGGGTTTACCCTCTGCCTGGCATGTCAGATCCCATATCTCTTTCAGTCCTGGTCAATAAAAATTTTGATATTATATCTTGCATTTTTCTAATACCTTTATACCCTGCCATTGGAATTTTGTGAGATGTAGATGAAATGGCCACCTGGTGGGTTACTACCCATTCCTCATTTGGCTGGCATGAGGAGGTATCCATTTCCTCATTGTACTTTGTACTTTGTCTTTCAAGTAATAGCACTCCGGTATCAGTTCTGGGTAAATTTCTCAGACTACCATATTGCTCACTTCTGTTAAAGAAGGCACATTATTAGCTATATTCCCTTTCCTGTTTTACTTTCTTTTTTACTTGAAAATTGGCAGAAACCTGAATTTTGATAGACATCTCTTCCTGTTTTTCTGGGGGCCTGACATCTACTCACAGCACAGTCACAAACTAATTCAGTATGCGCCTCCTGTTGCATCCGTTCCTCTTATTTCTGCTTGGTTGTTCCAGCACCTGGGGTGAGGATAATTATTTTTGAACCAGCCAGCTCATTCCCCAAGATAAAATCAATTCTTCCCATGGGATTTGTTGTACTACTACAACTACAACGTCTCCATTTATGAAGTCACTCTTGATCAACTTCATGTAATGGGATCAATTTGTAACCTCCAGCTAACATGTTTTTCTTCATTGGCCCCTCCTAGAAGACACACGTTATCAGCCAGAATAAACAACTGACTCCAGTGTCTCAATACTTTTTTTATTAGTTCACCTCAATTTGAAGAATGAGGAAATATTGCTGCCTTTGAAATAGTGATGAGAACCTTGTGACTTCATTCTCTTTTTCAATAACCAAGGAAGAATTTTCTTGACTGTCAAGTTATCTCTCAGTTAAGGTTTTAAGGGAATATGCTCCACTTAAACTAATTTAATACCTATTTCCTTTTCTGATATATTCTATTGAGGATTCCTTTGGCATTCCTAATACAGAACTGGTCTCCCATTTTACTTACCAGCAATTATTTTCAATCTTATTACAATACAGGCATATTATTTTCTTTATTACTTTTTAGTTTATTATTCATTTAAACCTGCCCATCCCTTTTTAAGGTCATGGTTGATCCATCCTGGGTCTCAAACCTTTTTGTGCTAGCTCTTATAGGCCTCAACTCTGCTGGATTTCAAAATCTACCTTCTCTTTTAAATTCTTGCAATGATGTAGCCTCAGCAACTCTGGGATATTCAGAAATTCTCAATCCCTCTGGGGGAAGAAATTCCACCACATCTTTTTTAAATGAATGTCCTCTTATTCTGTAACTGAGACCTACTGAGATTTCTGTACTAGTGGAAACATTTTCTCAACATTGACCCTGTCAAGCGCCTCCAATCTAATATGTTTCAATACGTTAGGCCTAATTTTTAGCCATTCATGACAGCAACCCTTAGGAAACAGCCTAGTGAATCTCTTGAATTGCCTCCAATGCCAGTACATCCAACCTTAAATAAAGGAACCAAAACTGTAAAAATTGCCCAGTGTTCAGGAATGTGTAGATTAGGTGGGTTATAGAGGGATGGGTCAGGGTGGGATGTTCTGATGGTTGGTGTGGACTTGTTGGGCTTTAGGGATTCTATTATCTGTACGCAGTACTCCAGGTGTGGCCTCACCAATGTTGTGTACAATTGTAACAAGACTTACCTATTTTTAAACTCCAGCTGCCTAGTAATAAAGTTCAATATTCCATTTGCCATCTTAATTACTTGTTGTAGGTCCATGCTAACATTCTGAATTTCATGTATAAGAGCACCCACATCCGTCTGCACTGCATTTTCTCAGAATCTTTATTTAATGGTCTGCCTTTTGATTGTGTATAGCAGGAATGGGGGAACCTGCAGCCTTTTGGGGTACCAGTTGTGGCCTTCTGTCTGTTTGTCTGCAAATACTAAATCTGCCTTTTTAAATCTGTACCACTTTAAATTTTTACTGGTAACTCAGTCATTTCAAAAACTTTAAGACAGTAAAGGAAGAGAACAGAGTATTCAATGAAGAATGGGAATTGCTGTATCACATAGTTACTGTAAAAGATAAAATGTTTACTCTGTGATGCCATGATTACAACACTGAAAAACTACAATACATATCAGCATAATGCAACTCAAGGACCAAAAACAGCAAGTATTTAAAGCTGTGTCAGGACAAGGGACTGATATCACTGAAGCAACTTATAAAGTAGCATATTTACTCAGAAGTAAGCCATTTAGCAATGTGGAAATCATAAGAATGCATTGTTGAAGTTGTAGAATGCTTAGATGCAAATAAGTACCCCTTTCAAGAAGGACAATAACTGATCAGCATGAATTAGACCTCAATGTAACAGAACAACTTCATACAAAATGCTGAAGTGAAGACATTTATTATTTGATTTGCCTTGGATGAATCCACTGACTCAACGCAGGTGTTATTTTGTATTTGTGTTATAACGGCAGATTTTCATTGCCACAAGCAATTACTAGCTTTGGGTACCCTTGCAGTGAGGACACGTGGAATTGACATCTTCACTATCTTCAAAGAAAAATGCCATGAAGTGAAACTGAATTTATGTAATTTAGTAAGTGTATGCACAGATGGTGTACCTTCCAGGAGGAAAACGTGAAGGATTTTTTTTTGTTACAAAAGAATTACCAGATCCAGATACGTCATTGTCATGCCTTTCATTGTCTTTTGCAGCAATGGAATCTCTGCGCAAAATCTACTGTTTTAAGTGACACATTAAATAAAGTTTTATAGATGTTGTAAACTACATTCGAGCAAATGTATCATGGCATTGCCAATTTTGCAACATGCTGTGTGGATCTGCCAAATCATTCTAAAGTGTGCTGGTTGTCACAAGGACAAATACTTCTAGGCAGCAGCAGAGGAGCAAGAGAGCTGATGTTCATCAAACATCAACTTTCCTGCTTCTCTGTTGCCTGGCCTGCTGTGTTCCTTCAGCTCCACACTGGGTTATCTCTGACTCCAGCATCGGCAATCCTTACTATGTCTATAAAACTTATCTTTGTGAAAGTAAATCACAAGATATTTTGTGAAACTGAATGAACAATGTGAATTGTCAAGAGGATTTCTGTAGAAATGCTGCATTTATGTGAGATATAATATCAAAGCAAAATGATCTGAGTTTTGTTTTTTGCAAGGCAAAACGGAGTCTGATTTGTGGCTGAAAATACAGGCATTTCAGAAAAAGCTGACTTTTTTGAAACCTCTCTTTAACTGATTGGAACTTTCAGCTGAGCACTTTCCTGAACTGGCAAAAGTAATTTAACGAACAAGATACAAGTAAATCATTAAGGAAATGTGATGTGAAAGAGTACACATCTGTTCTAGACTCCGATTGAAGAATACAATGAAAGGTGTGCAGATTTTGAGAAACATGATCTCTCACTAAAACTAGCTTTTCAACCACACCTGGTTGATGTCTCCAAAGCACTTGATGATTTACAGATGGAATTGATTGAGCCCACAAGCTAATATTCTGAAGTCCTTATTTAATACTAAGAAGTATCCCATTGAAATATGGAGAAATGCTGTTGAATACTATGTCTATGTCAACATGCTCATTGGATGCTGCCTTGTTTTGGTACAACCTACTGTTGTGAACCAACGTTTTCATGTGCTGCAAATTAAAACACGCTTGAGATCTCAGATATTCATCGAGAGGACCAATTAAAGCTACGGTCAACAGATGTTGGAACAAAATATCTGATTCCTATCTTGCAATAAGCAATCACGAAGTCATTAAATGGTTTGTCTAAGTTCACTTATTAGTACTAATATCAACTTTGCCAAACAAAAATGAGATTTTAATTTAAAGTCCTCAATAGCAGGCTTTGACTAAAATTAGTAAATGTCAATTAAAAATGACTGTTGTATATGTTAAATTCTCAGCACACAGCCTAATAGGATCTGTTAAAATGTGGCCTTCCAATGTAAAAAGGTTCCCCTCTCCTCTATAAGTGTGTAATCTCCATTAAAATGAATTCTCTGGAGATTTTGGTGAAGACCATGTTGGAAGTTTGCTAGAATGCTTGGGTCTTGAAGCTGCTCAATGTTGAGTTTTTTTTTCTGAAACTGTTTCTTTGGCATCAGCTGTTTCTGGTGGCATTTGATGGACATGGAGGAGTGGATGAGCCAAT